TTTAACATAATATGCGTAAGTACCTAATCGAATTAAAAAAGTTGCTGAGAAAAATACAGAACAATACGATAATAAACTAGCGTCTGCGTTTAATCCTCCGAGGAGATGTAATTTTACAAAGGTTTTTTGTATTTATTTTATTATTTTTTTAATAAATTTATTGTAAATAACAAGAAATAATCATTGTAAAAAAATAGGCACTCTATTGTTGAATTTTCGTCAGACCAACTAATCATCGTTCATTTTTTTAGGTTCAATGGGGAGACCTAAAGATTTACGCATATGGGAGCACTACCGTACTTTACCAAACAAGTCTGTTTCTTGCAAGCTTTGTAATAAGGTCTACAAATTCAGTAATGCTGCCAAAATGCTTCAACATCTTATCACTTGTCCAAAATCTCCAGAAACATTAAAAGACTCTATGAAACTTATAAAAGATAGCTCGTCCAAAACCAAAATGTCTGGACTGTCAGAGATAGAGACAAATGATTCTTTTATAAGCCCCTCGTCGTCTGCTAACACTACAATAAATGCTGAGTTTCAAGACACCGATGATCATATAAAAACAGAATTAGCGAGAGCTATATTTGTAACAGGGACGCCATTATCGATGGTGCAACATCCTTTATGGATACAATTTTTCGAAAAATTGCAACCAAAATTTAAAATACCTTCACGTAAAGCTTTAGCGACAAAATACTTAGATAAAATATATAGAGAAATGCGTTTTGAGTTAAATGAGGAACTAAATGCTTGTAGTTACTTACACCTTCAGTGCGATGGCTGGTCTAATTTAAGAAATGAAGGAATAATAAACTTTCTTATATCAAAACCTCAACCTGCATACGTTAAAAGTTTGAATACAGAAAGTAATCCTCACACTAGTGAATACCTTAGCCAAGAAGTTGAAAAAGTAATGAAAGTGTATGGAGCAAATAAGTTTCTTGTACTTATTGACGATAACGCTAGAAATATACAAAAGGCATTCGAATTAACAAAACTCAAATATCCACATGTTGTTCCTCTCGGTTGCTGTGCACATATCCTTAACTTGTTGTGCCAAGATATTGTAAAGATACAAGAAGTAACTGTGTTTATTATGCAAGCCATAAATATAATAAAAACTGTTAAAAGGAGTCAACGATTAAGTTCCTTGTTGATAAAATCAAGGCAGGGTGAAGATTCTACACAAACACTAAAATTGCCTTGTGCTACAAGATGGGGAAGTCATGTTACTTCGTTAAAAAGTTTGAAAGCAAATAAGATAGCTTTGCAAATATTTAGAGAAAACAGTTAGAGAAGATGTGGTAATTTCAAGAGATATTAAAGATTTAATTCTAAGTGATGATTTCTGGACGAAGACAGGGGAATGTATAAGTATTTTGGAACCAGTCACTGAAAGCATATTTTACTTAGAGAGCGACCAGAATCGTTTGCATCGCACATACATTACATTTAGAGATGTACAAGCTAAGATACGTTTTGCATTAAATGAGATTTCGACATTGAGCGAAGAAAGCAAACAGCAGATTCTAACATCAGTATCTTCAAGATGCAATATGGCAATGAGGCCAATACATTTTGCAGCATATATTCTAGACCCCAGGACTCTAGGAGTCGAACTTACTCAAGAGGAAGAACTTAAGGGTATGGAGTTTATCTACAATTTAAGCCAACACTTAAGTTTGTCAAATGTAATGGCAGATTTGGCGTGTTATAAAGCTAAAGAAAACTTTTGGGCCAGAGGATTTGTATGGAGCTCATTAGATAGCATTGAGCCCCTAATATGGTGGAAAGGTATTTGTGGTTCCACTGAGTTAAGCAAAGTAGCGATTCGTATTCTATCAGCTCCCTGTACTTCGGCAGCCACTGAGCGTTCCTTTAGTATCCAAGGCTACATACATAATAACAAAAGAAATCGACTTACAACTGAAAGAACTGAAAAAATTTCATTCATTTGTTATAACTGGAATCTTAAACATAAAGCTGAATGCGAGGACATTCAGTTTAATGAAGAAAATACCTTAGAAGCTTTCATTGAGCAAGTAAATGAACATAACAGTTTAGACGAAATAGAGCCTATCGAACCTATACAATTCATCGCTTGTAATAACTCTGAATCTGACAGTGATTGACTGTAGTTTTACATTTTACTTTCATCTCTTTCTTAATAAACTCAAAATCAAATTAAAAGTTTTTTATTCTGTAGGCTGCATAATAATATTGTCTATGTCCAGTATAGTGGACGTCTTGCGGCTGAGATGACGATGATGAAGTACAAAATCATAAACACCCAAAAATTTGGGTGTTTATGGGGTTTAAACCCAATAAACCCAAAACACCCGGTTTTTACCCACCAGACTTTAAACCCACCCAGGTGGATTGCCCATCTCTACCTCCGAAGCACAAAGCAAATGGCAGGGGGTCTACCATGAAATGAAATTCCGAATTTTCAGGCTTAATTTCGTGTTTTTGTTCGTACTAATATCGACCCTATAAATGGAGATTAACATTTACATTATTTACATTATCTTAAATCCTACCATCAATGTCCAAAAGAACGATACTTTAGCATTTTTAATATTTTTAAACGGTATGTATCAAGTAATTTTAACATCAAATTTTTGTTTCGTTCGGATCCGAAATTTCGGAAAACATTTCATGGTAGGCCCTCAGCTCTAGTCTTCTAATTTCTTTTGTTAATACGTTACGTCGCCGTTTCTGATTTTTTTCTGTTCATGATTCTTTTTGCATTCGATTGCACTAAGTTTCCTGATCGTTCCATAATAAATTTGTGACGGTCGCAGCTGCCGTTTTTATTTGCGTGTCGTGTGAATAGTTTATATAGTTATAAATTATAATCGGTGTACAGTTCGCATAGCGCATCTGAGTTCTGTGTCCATGTTGCATGGACACCGTTGAATATACTGTTCTAAAACTTACAATCACAAGTTAAATATTGTTTAGTAGTCACTGCATATATTTACATTTGTACGTATCTTTTTTGGCCGACTTCAAAAAAAGAGAAGCTTCTCAATTCGGTTGCATATCTTTTGTTTGTTACCTAATAACTCTGTCAGTTGTAAACCGATTTAGAAAATCCTTTTTTATCTAAAACTATTATTATTTCAACCGTTTACTGACCACTGCTGGACGTAAGCCATACCCATAAGGGGAGTTTTGCCAGTAGTTTGCAGGCAGGTTGGCAACCACAGTTAGCCTATTAAAGTTGTTTTAAGAGGGACGCTGTGATACCCATCCCTCGCCTTAAAATCTAAAATGATATATAGAAATTTTATCAAAATCGATTTAATAGTTTAGTTTTTAAATCAAAATTACCACAGTTTGTTAGTTTTTTTTTTTTCTTTTTTTTTTTTTTTTAAACAATTATTTTCTTTATTTATCACAATCTGTTTTCATTATTATATAAAGTATCCTATGTATTAAATTAGGAATTTTCTTTAAAAACCGTTTAATAGTTATTGCGTGAAAAAGTAATAAACTTCTATACGTTTTCACATAATTTCGTATTCATAAAGGTAGATTGAAAATAATTATCGCTACTGAAGTAAATGTGTACATAATTTATTATTTAAACCCTTTTGGACGCTCCATTAGATCTGCAACTCAAACGTGAAATTTCAATTCATCCTATTTGAATCGTTTAAAAATTGTCGATTCGTGTCTGACGTTAAATTTTTGACTACAGGTGAAAACTCAACTATTGAATTTCATTTTATCCTATTTGGGTCGTTTAAAAATTGTTGATCATTTGTTTTTTTTTTCTGATGAATTCATCATGATAGGCTAACTGGCCTGTTTTCATTCTCATCAATCACCCTTCACTGGTGCTCCGCCAGCGTATCCCGTTAGCGCAGACGGGGTTACCATTTTATTTTCACTCATCAGAAAAAAAAACTGCAGTTCCCATTCCATTTGCCAAGCGTGGCAACTACGTGGCAAAACCCCCCAAGGGCAAGGCTTATGTTCAGCAGTGGACAGTTAAAAGCTAATATGATGATAATACAATAACTTTATATGAATATCTAACATCTTGTTAAACGATTAACTAACAGTTCATAACGCATCTCATATGCACCGGCCGTGTCTAAAATAACGCGAAATTGAGTCGTTAAGGCAGCTGTGTTACCACGTAACAGGAGACGTATTTAGAATTGACGTTATTCCATTACGTATTACTCTACATATTACATTTTTGGCACCGGGAATGACCTAATGGATTTACGTAAACAAGAGGAGATTGTTAGTAGCGGGGACTAGGAGCCCCATAGCTGGCGTATACCCAGTCAGGTCGAAACCACCATGTTAAATTTTGGCATAGAATGGACCACCTCTTTCTTTGCCGTGGGCGTCGTAAAGGACGACTATGAGAAGTTAATGGTCAAGAGATGGGCAGCAGCACCTATCTCTTACAATATCACCAAAGCCTGCGGTTGCCAACCCGCCTAACAAACGTGGAAATTAACTTCTATTTTTTATAAGTGTAAATTTCCAATCATCCTACCGCTCATACACGGGCAGGATCACAGTGAAAAATTATAAGTAAGGAAAAAAGTAGTCTAGTTTGCCCATCGTGACGAATTCATCAAAAATTTGGCTGTGTTTGAAGGGTGGAATATGGCGTGAATTTATAGGGAACAGAGGAATAACATCTGAGTCCTCAGGAATGGCAACGCATGGGGGGTATCATGGGCGAAACAGTGTGCTCTGTTGTGTTCATGGTGCTGCTCATGTCTGTGGGCGATGGTTGCCACTTTCCATCGGGTGGGCTTTCCGTCGGCTTGTTTGCCATTCTAAGTTGTATAAAAAAAATTAACCACCATGTTTTCCAGAGGGAATGTGTGGTGGTTGACGTGACAGCATATATTGTTACCAAAGGAGTCCTATGTCCCTGTTACTGATAACCCTCTGATAATCTCCTTGCACTAATACTTAAAAAATTAAAGTCGCAACTAAATCCTCACCTCCAAATTTTCCAGGCGTCTGGTGTGACAGTATCGGACGCGTGCAAAACAACTTACGAGGAGATAAAGAAAGATAAGAAGCACCGCTACGTGGTGTTCTACATCAGGGACGAGAAGCAGATAGACGTGGAGACGGTCGGCGAGCGCAACGCCGAATACGACCAATTCCTCGAGGACCTGCAGAAGGGCGGCACCGGCGAATGCAGGTAAACAGAATTCAACAGTTTTAACTTATATACTGTATTGTAGTTATTTATATCAGCATTATAGAATACGGAATACAAGGATTTTTTTAATGGGTGATAATGGGTGAAATTTTTTTAATGGGTGGTAACCCCACCTGTGCTATCGGTATACATTGGCGAGGCACCAATGGAAGATGATAGTTGAGAATGCATGCAGGTCAGTTGGTCCACCTTGATGAAATTGACAAGAATTTATCATGACGGTTTCTAGGGAGAGCCGCGTGGAGGTCGACCTGAGAGGGTATATTGCTAGCAATGGGGCTATTAGACATCATAACTAACAATTCCTTTCTCCCTAATACAAGGATGTGCCCAAAACAGCCAAAGTTATCGACATAACCCGAAGGATAAGCAAGCTGAAGTGACAATGGGCTGGTCACATAGACTGGGGAACCGACCACCGATACTTTTTTATCGGTTATAGGTCCTTGAGTAGCGACACCGTACAAGCAAACGCAATGTAAGATGACCCCCCACTAGATGTAGCGACGACCTCAAACGCATTGCAGAGACCCAGTGGATGCAGGTGGTACGGGGCTCTTCGTTATGACAGTCTATGGGGGAGGCCTATGTTCAGCAGTGGACAGTTAACGGCTGATATTGGTGATGATGATTATGATATTAGCTTTACTCACGTATTTTGGAGGTAGTCTGACTAGTTTCAGGCTAACGAATCCACAAAAAGGAAACTTCAAGCATGGCATAATCAGTTATATATATTAAATATAAATAACTGTTATGCCCTAAACTACTAAACCGATTTTTATAAAATTGATATGGGAACAATCTGTAAATATATCCTTTCAGATAAAAACAGTTATAACTAACATAAATATGTAACCAAATTTAAAAACCTCTTTTTAAACTTGGTTGATAAATGGTTTTGCCACATTTGAAGTTTATAGTTTTTTTTTTTTCTGGAATAAATGCTACATGTTTAAGTCCTTATTTTCTTAATATTTCACGTATTTGTTTATTTATTTATATTTATTAGTATGCCACATAGTATAAATTGGTTATTATAATAAGTAAGCACATGAGACACGTGACACCCTGTAGGGGCACCGCAATATACAGAGAGAATTAAATTTACAGTTCAAATCATATTATAATTTATTTTTATTTATAATATTATTTATGAACTAAATATACACTTATTCTCGCTTATTTTACATTATTCACCTTTGATTTTCAGATATGGCCTGTTTGATTTCGAATACACGCATCAATGCCAAGGCACATCGGAGGCAAGCAAGAAACAGAAGCTATTCCTAATGTCGTGGTGCCCAGATACCGCTAAGGTCAAGAAGAAGATGTTGTACTCCAGGTAAATTGGCAATTACTGTTTATTTTATAATATTTATATTTTTTTTTATTTAAGTAAACTTAATTATTTATAAACATCATTATAGGTTAAAACACATTTGCTATTTCTCAGTTTTTGTCCAAATTTATCTACACTTTATAATATTATAAATAGAAAAAATTGCATTTTGTGTATGTTTGTTTGTAATGGATAAACTAAAAAACTACTAAACTTATTTGAAAAAATCGATTACCTATAGAAAGCTACATTATAGCGGCCCACCTGATGGAAAGTGGTAACCGTCGCCCATAGACATGAGCAGTACCATGGACATAACAGAGTATATTGTTTCACCCATGGTACCCCCCATGCGTTGCCATTCCTGAGGACTCAGGTATTATTCCTCTGTACCCAGTAAATTCACGCTATATCCCACCCTTCAAACCGAAACACAGCCATGCAAACACAACTGCTTCACGGTTGAAACACGAATGGGACAGAGGTACCCAAGTCTCCCTCTGGTAAAACCCTACCAAGCGTGTCTGCATGCTATTGCTTATATATGCTGCGCGGTATTGTCATACCCCTCCCCTATTATGGGAGATGTCTCTATTCAGAAGTAGACATTAACAGCTGTTACGATTATATAAACAAATAAATATTACATATAAAGGAATTAAATCTTTTCTCTTTATAATATTAATGCCGATTATCAAATGTACTTAATAAGTATCACTAAGTGCCAACTATGTCCAACATCAACATAATTATATTAACATTTTTTAACAGTAACTTTTTATGAATCTACCGCCCATTTCGGAATATAGTTTTAACTGAGAAGAACTGGCAAGAAACTGCTGTTAACTGTACTGCCAGCTATCAGCCCTCACTAGTACGCCACCGTCGTAAATGGATAGTACAGACGGAGTTACCATTACATTACATTTGCCAATAAAAAGAAAGACCTACCTCCTTATTTATAAAAACGTTAAACATCTAAACCTATTTTATCTATTGAACAGTTTTGTCTCATTCTTTCGAATGAAAATCACAGAGTAATGTATAATCAAAGTAGGATTTTAGGTTTTATGAATAAAAGCGTTAGTCTTTATATATTACTGAATGGACCTGATAAATGCAGTGGTAATAAACCCTTGTAATCGGCTTTATACAACGTCGCCCTCTAGTGTTAATAAGACAAAAATAAAACACAAATGTCCTCCGTAGATAGTTAAGGTGGGTTGGTTACAAAACAAAATTGTACATGAACGACTAGATGGCGCTGGAATCGAGACTTATGTTTTTTATTGATTATTTTGTAATTAAAGGTAATTTGAAGTAGATTTTTAAATTTGCAAGTAATTTTTATTATTATATATAAATATAATAGTGTTAAAGTTAACTGAAGTGGGAATACATATTTATAACACTTGATTTTAGTTAACCACTGTCCAATATACAATAAATATATAGTTTTTTTCGTAGCAGCTAATGGATAATTGAATTAATTATTAGGAGTGAGTCGCTAGCTCTTGACTAGTGAAGACACGTTATTGCTGATCTACGTAATTAAATTCGAAAAAATTATCTAAAGTTACTGTTTACATACCGGAGTTGTGTCATAGGTTGTGTAGTGAAACGACCACAAAAAATATAACAAACCGAATAACCTTTTGATCTAAATTTAACAAAATAAGATAAAACATTCCCGTGACTGGTGTACGTTGAATTGGCTGCAGTGATTATTGTTGGTGAGACAATATCAACAAAATTAAAAACTACCCACAGAAAAAAAAAAAAAAAAAAAAAAAAAAAAAAAAAAAAAAAAAAAAAAACCTGACGCACAGTATACGATCGACAATTTCGTTTACGACCTGTAGAAATTGGTGGCGCAGTGAGGAGAGTTACGACTTGACCTTGAAAGGTCCATGTTTCAAACCTGTCTACTGGCTCTGTCTTTTTGTGGATTGTAGGATTTGTGTATGTTCAGTTCATAGTTCATTTCTGATAGATAAATTATTGGTGTGATATACATATATTTTAGAAATGTCCTCTAAAAATGGGTTGCAATGTGGGGCCTGCCTAAAGGATATAATAGACAAAAATTACATAAAATGTTGCATAGATTCTTGTAAAGTGCCGTTTCACCGTGACTTATGTATAGGACCATCCCCTCCAGAAGACGTGCGTAAATGGGTGTGTCAAAAATGTCGTTGCAGTTTGAAAAAAGGAGGCGATAACACTGAGACACCGGTTAAGGCCTCCTCTACGAGCGTGAATGTTACCATACGTAATAAAAATAAAGCTAGCACGTCCATTGAAAAATCACCAGAACTGGAGAATAGTAGTTTGGGATCTTTAATTGCTGAAATTCGATTCTTGAGGCAAGATGTATCACAACTCACAGACAAAGTAACTGAAATATTTTCGGCACTCACCCAATGTTGTGAAAGGCTATCCGAAGTAGAAAATCATATGACACGAACTGATCAACGTTTAAAATTATTAGAGGAGCGTGAGGCTGAAGTGGCATCATTGCAATGTCAGGTACACACGCTCCAAGATCAGCTTAGTAATCAAGCACAGGCCGCATTGCGCAATGAGATAGAACTAGTAGGTATCCCCGAAACTTCTAGTGAAAACTTGTCGCAAATAGCAACAGTCCTTGCTACGAAAATTGGAGTTGTTTTGAATGAAACGGATGTTGATTGGGTGACCAGAGTTGGATTAAAGCGCGCTCCAGGTACAGGGAAATCATTGCCAAGACCAATTGTTATTAGGTGTGTTAGAAGGGGGAAGCGCGACGAAATTCTTAGAGCAGGAAAATCGCGAAAGAACTTGTCGACACAGGACTTGCCTATTAAAGCAGATGTGCAGAAGATCTTTATTAATGAACGTTTAACCAGCGAAAAACGTAAGTTATTTCGCGAATCACGAAGTCGGGCAAGCAATGCTGGATACAAATACTGTTGGACTCAAAATGGCAACGTATTCATACGAAAACGGGAGGGCAGTTCGGCAATACAAATTCGATCACAAGCTGAAATGGCAGAAAAACTTGCCGTTCCGGAGAATAATTAATGTAATCATTCATTGTATGCTTAATAGCGTAAATAAATCCTTTTCATTATTTTTTACTAATAGCATGTTTGTTCTAATATATATATTGATTTTACTATTTTTTACAATGTTAATAAGTATTATAAAAACATTTACTTTATTGTTACTTGGAAATATGATTAGTTTTGATGATATGTATAATTATGTGCTTTGTGTTGATATGTGCTTTACTGTTTATTGTATTTATTTTATTTTATGTAATTTGCAATATTTACATGCACTAATATATTTTGGTTATGCGTATTGTGCGGACATCAGTATAATAACATTTATGAGTGGACGTAAAGTGACACAAACTATATGCTGTTTTTTTACTTCATATTATATAAATCATAATAAACAACCACCATAGGAATTGAAGCAGAAGTTGACGAAATCTTAAATGTACCATGTCACTTATTCCACAATCTCGAATCATGTAAGAACATTTATCGGCATAATTACGGCTTCAAAGTTCTTAATTTCAATATAAGAAGTATTCAACGGAATTTTGATTCTTTCTACGTGGCTCTAAAAAGATTAGACATTGAATTTGACATTATTGTTCTCACAGAGTGCCATTTAGGTGTATGTTCTATAATACGAAGCATCCCTGGTTACTCAAGTTTTTATTCTAGAAATATCAATAATCAAGCTGGAGGTGTTGTTGTATATATTAAGGAAGAGTGGAGAGTACAAGTATTTGAACCAGATATAGAGGATGCTGATTGTCTAGCTTTGACGTTTCCAAACCATCGCACTGTTCTTGGAATTTATCGCTCCCCCTCTTTCAGAAATATAGATAATTTCTGTAATTCTTTAGAATCATACATTGTTAATAACTCTCGTGATTCAGAGGTTATGTTAATAGGAGACCTGAATGTTGACATCCTGAAGAATGGAGATGATGTAACAAAATACCTATGTCTCACAGCATCGTTTGGTTTAAAACCAGCTATTAATGTTCCTACCAGAGGTGTTGCATGTCTTGATCACATTCTTCTTGGTTCTAAGGTAACTGGAGTTGGTGCAGTATGTAAAACATCCATAACTGATCATGAAATGGTTATGGTTGGCATCTCGGAAACTCCAAGGATTTCGAGGCGTAAGCGATTGGTTAGGAAGTTAAATTTTGAGGCATTTGAAAGTGATCTTAACGAAACAGACTGGTCAGACGTTTTGAGCTCTGGTAATGCAACGGATGCAGCTGAAAAATATATGAAGAAACTACATGTAATGACAGTAAAGCATACAAAATTATTGAAAGTTAGCAGATCAAAATACGCTCTTAATGAATGGGTCACTCCTGGGTTGATAAAATGCATGAGACATCGTGACGCTCTTCATTTACAGGCAAAAAAAGAACCAAATAATTTAATTATACAGGTAACCTATAAAAGATACAGGAATTTCCTCACTGACCTACTTAAAAAACTTAAGATTCAATATAACGGTAAAAATCTGGAAACTAATAAAAATAATCCAAGAAAACTTTGGAAAACTATAAAAGATATCTGTGAACTGAAGAGACAAATGAAGAACAGTATTGATTTACTTCATATAAAAAATAACCCAGTAGAGTCTCTCTCTGAATGCAACAAATATTTTTCTAGCATAGGGCAAAATCTAGCATCAAAAATATTAAAAGATATTAATAAATCGGAACAGGACCTAGCTAGAGCAGTTAGCAATGTCAGAGGTTCAGCAGGTTCTTTTTTTATGACACCAACAGATACTTATGAAGTCAGGACAATAATAGGGCAACTAAACCTTAATAGTGCTCCTGGTTTGGATAATATAAGCACTAAGATGCTAAAAAGAGCATGCAATTTTATAATTGAACCCCTGACACATATAATAAATTTGAGTCTGTCCTCGGGGCAATTTCCAGAATGTTGGAAATCTGCTGCTATAATACCTATATACAAGGATGGCCTGCAAACTGATCCGTCAAACTATCGCCCAATTTCTCTCCTAAGTGTGTTCTCCAAAATTCTAGAAAGGGTGGTAAATTTACGCTTAACAAAATTTTTAGAATCTCAAAACGTTATAAGTCATAACCAGTTTGGTTTTCGTAAAGGAAGATCTACTGAAGAAGCAGCTAATTTCCTTATAAAAACTGTAACTGACGCTATTGATCATAGACAGAAATCTCTTGGAATATTTCTCGATCTTTCCAAGGCATTTGATACTGTTTCTCACTATATTCTACTACGGAAGCTCGAAGTTATTGGAATACGAGGCGTGACTCTTAGATGGTTTTCTAGTTATCTTGAAAGGAGAAACCAAATCGTAGTCGTAGATGAACATAAAAGTAATACATCATATATTTCTTTTGGAATTCCACAAGGAAGTATCCTCGGGCCTACACTGTTTTCTATTTACATGAATGACCTCTGCCATCTATTTGATGATGACAACAACGTCCAAGTAATCTGTTATGCTGATGACACTGCAATAATTTGCACACAAGAAAATTGGTTTTCTGTTTTTTCTGCAGCTAACTCGGCCATGAAGATTGTATCAAATTGGTTGGGAGCAAACCTACTTACTTTAAACACTGCAAAATCTAAATATGTTTGTTTTCACAACACCAAAGCTTCTAGTCCCCCAACGTCATTATCCTTGATTATCCATAAATATTCATGTGATAATAACAAAATCTGCAGTTGTGATTTCCTTGATAGGGTTCATGAAGTGAAATATTTGGGATTAATCTTGGATCAAAAGTTGACTTTTGCTTCTCATATACAAGTGCTTTCTAAACGTATACGTAAACTTATACACGTTATGAAGCTTCTGCGTAACGGCGCGAGCAAGAATGTTTTATTACTTGTATACAAAAGCATAGCTCAATCACTGTTGATGTACTGCATCACAGTGTGGGGCGGTGCATCAAAATCATATATGATTGCACTTGAAAGGGCACAAAGATCTGTCTTAAAAGTAATGTTTAGGAAACCAATTCGTTTTCCCACCTATCTTTTGTATCAGGAGGCTGCTGTTCTGACAGTGCGTCAACTTTATATACTTAAAGTAGTAATGATGCACCACAAATCTCCTCTCCTCCCGCAAAAACCTTCGGACCAGAGAAGGCGCAAAATAATCATCCCTCGCATTAATACTGCATTTGCAAAGCGCTTTAGTTATTATTCGTGCCCATTTATATATAAAAAACTTAATAATCTCTGCAAACTGGATGGTCTTAACAATGCGGAAGCTAAACATAGGATACAAGGATATTTACAAAATCTTGATTACGATGCCACAGAATTAATATTATATACCATTTATTGATATTCGTATATAGTAGTGTATGTCTTTAGTATATTTAATTGTATGTATTTATTTATGTAATATTAGAGTATTTATATAATTTTCTGTTTTATGCGCATGTCTTCATGAAGCACTTCATTTTAACTTGTTGCTTTCGTAAAACTGGCTTAGTATTTTAATTTAACTTATATTTGTAAACCACCGTGTCTTGGTAATCTCATATGGACTCCCGCGATACAGGTTCTCCTAGTGCGGGGTCCAATGTACTCGCTGTTGTAATTTTTTTTTTTTTTTTTTGTATTTAATAAATAAAATAAATAAATAAATAAATATTATGTTTATTATAAATTTGTAATTATTGTTTAAAAAAAATTTATAACATTTAATGTACTGTTTTTATTAACTGAAAATTTATTAAGTGAATTTTTACTAATATAATAAATAATATTGTAAGTGAGTTTGTTGCAAGTAAAACAAGAAATGTTATTACAGAGAAATATATAATATTAATACAGAAAAAAAAAAAAAAAAAAAAAAAAAAAAAAAAAAAAAAAAAAAAAATGTGACAGGTTAATACGCTATTTTATCCTAAATGAATTATAACGCACAGAATTATAATGTTTCATGCTAATGTTTTTTTTTTTTTACAAAGTTGTACAATACAAGGGAATAGGATTAAAAATGATGATAAATTATTACTACATTGGTAAAAAATAAATAAAACCACTCGCAAATTTAGAAATTTTGCTTCAATTTGTCTTTAATTACAAAATAATCAACAAAAACCGCAAGTCTCAATTTCAGCGCCATCTAGTATTTCGTCATCTTTATTAGTAACCGTAAACGTTGATAGATGGCGTTGCTACAAAAGGACAACGCGCTATGGTTTAATTGAGGTCGATGGCTAAATTATAATATTGAAAAATATTCTTTATGCGTTGTTGTTTCACATTCAACATAACATGAATGATATTTTTGTGGCAGTAGATTCCTAGTAATGTACGAATCTGCTTTTTTTTTTTTTTTAATTACTACCTTTTACCCGTGGCTCTGTCTGCGATCAGTAATATAATAATATAATCCTTTCCACTCAGGGTTTGCTGGAAGAGAACTCTTACAGAGTTAAGCTCACCTGTTGTACATCTTTATTTTATATATATATGTTGTAATTTTTTAAAGAATAAATAAAATAAAAATGTCCGTGACCAGGATTTTTACTGACCGAACTAAAAAGTAGAGTTAACGATTCTTTCCGAAATTTTCGAAACATAATTAGATAAATCGATTAAAAAATTGAGGTCTACAAAATCGAAATTTTAAAAATCCAATTTTTTTTTCGATTTGTTTTATCTTTTATTTATTTATTTTTTTTTTATATATATGTGCGTAAAAAATGGAAAACATAATGGACACTATAATAATTTACACATTTACTTTGCCCTGTCAGGCAAACAGAAGACCTTGTAAAAATTAACTGCTTTGCATTTTTCTTTTTTTTTTTTTCTTGCTTTCTACTTCGTGGCAGTCCTATTTTTTGCATGACTGTTTCGATTTGAAGGATCCGTTAGCGATCCGGTAGCAAAATAATAGGGTACGGAGGCATAACATCGTTGTCTTTAAGAATAACAGTGCATGAGTACTATCATGGGTATCACAGTATATTCGCTGGTATCGATGCTGCTGTTCGTGTCTATGGGCGACGATTTCCGCTTTCCATCAGGCGAGCCGTCAGTTGCTTGTCATTCTAGATGCAGAATAAAAAGTGAATCTCCACCTGTTCCGACCTGGAAACTCCTAGTGAATTCAATCATGCTCATTTCCCATCCATTCCATATCACCTGATTTCTTATTTAGCTTATCTGTCAATACTTCGTCAACGTATACCAATAGCGTATGTAATTGCTTAGTTTTTTTTTAATTCTTCTCAGCAGATACAACATTCCGAACCCAGCAGTATAATCATAAAAAGTCTATCATGTAATATTCTGTTCCAGCTCTTTCGATGCGCTGAAGAAGTCTCTGGTCGGCGTACAGAAGTATATCCAGGCGACCGACCTCTCAGAAGCGTCCCAAGAGGCCGTTGAGGAGAAGCTCCGCGCTACCGACCGCCAGTAAAGCATTTGACCTACCGACGAACGGTGCACATCACTAGCGGGCATCGATATCGACGCGCGGGCTTATCGATTGCTGAGCTTTTAACTTTGTCGATTCGAATCTGTTGCTTTCGGATGATGGTTACTTGAAATATTTCATTATAATAATCGCTACATTAAAACTTTATCCTTTTATATTTTATTCAATAGAGAGCGCTGTTTTGCTGTCATTGGACGTACAAATATTACCAACTACCTATTACGTTTCAATCTTGTTCATGGTTCGTTAGTTCTTTATATACGCATAATTAATTAAGACCCGATGTAACGATTAAATCGTTATAACAATCGACATATAAGATTGTATATTAATTGTCATCACTTATCGAATCGTCAGTATCGATGCAACAATCGATACCGTTACGTCACAAGGCAGTATTGCGAACGGTAGTGGTGTGCACCGAGCAACTAAATCGCATGGGTTCATTTTATATCATTTCAACCCTGAGCTTCGCAGTCGATTACACCCAAAATGGCGGGCGTTATACAGTGAACATAGCTGTAGTCACGCCCTACAGCCACTATAGCAATTAAGGAGTAATTTAAATTATACTAATTATATATATATATTTTTTTTCCTATAAATAACTAAAGAGTTAAGGTAAGCTCAAACTAAATTATACAGCGGCGCTCGATATCTTTAATTTGAAATACAGGTTTGCGGACGTCGGCTTTTTGTACTATTTAGAATGTAATATAACGGATGTACTGTTTTATACGATCGCCTAAGTTTCGTTTGAAATTCAACTGCTAATATTAGCTTTCGGCTCGGTACCGCGGCGGGCGTTGGATAGGTATTTTGTAACCAATTTATTCAGAATACACTCGATATAAGTGAGAATACCAGTTGTTTTATTTGTAATTCCTTTTTTAATCATCATATCGGCCATTATCTGTCCAATACTGAATATAGTTGTCCCGAGTTACCAGCATGCACTGACTCCCTGCAATACATTAGAGTTCGTCACTCCATCTAGTGGGGTTCGTTCGAAACTACGTTCGCCCTTACGAGAGAGGGATGCTGCTACCCATCCCTCAACCATTAGTTGCCTCTTGCGACATCCACTGGAAAAGAAGGGGTAATCTGGGACCACACGGGCAAAAAGTTAAGAATAGATGGTAATATATAGCAACTAACACAACAGTTTGTTTCCTTATTCAGGTCCTCCTTCGTATAAGATTAAGGACAGAAAGGACTGGACAGTAGGTGAGACATGGTCTGTGATCGCACTCCACAGTCGCAAGCCTCCCGAGATATAACACCCCATTTCACCAGGTTGTAACTATAGCCAATCTGTATTTGCAATCTATTAAGGAATTTCCAGATTGGTTACTACAATTCGCCACCCGGGAGTAGGTGCTTAGCTGTCGAACAAAATCTAAGAGCAGGATAGCTCTAATTCCACAAGTCGACTTTGCTTTTCATTGGGGTAGTAATATTCGTAGTATAGTCTGTAGATGCAGATTTTTTTAATGGGTTAAAATGCCATGGTAACCCCGCCTACGTTATCGGTATACACTGGCGGGGTGCCAGTGAGAGATGATAGGTGAGGATGAAAAGACAGGTCAGTTAGCCCATCGTGATAAATTAGCCACAATAGTTTCCAAGGGGAACCGCGTGGAGGTCGACTTGATAGGGTATATTGATAGCAGTGGAGACTAACCACCCCATTACTAACAATCCCTTCCCCCCACTCTGTAAATGTAGACGCACGTCCCTGAATATAATCTTGCCACCTATGTGATTCCGTTTCTATTTATTCAACTACCTTCTACAGGGGAGAAAGGGATTGTTAGTAATGGAGACAGAATCCCATTGCTAGCAATATACCCAACCAGGTCGACCTCCTCGCGGTTCCCCCTGAAAACTATCATGGTTAATTGCTGATGAATTCATCATAATAGGCTAACTGGCCTGTTTTCATTCTCATCTATCACCCTTCACTGGTGCTCCGTCAGCGTATCCCGTTAGCGCAGCCGGGGTTACGATATCATTTTCACCCATAAAAAAAAAACTACCTTTTACATCACCATATTAAAAAATGGAGACAGACTATAAATAAAGAAGAATAATTTACAATATTTTAACATGAAACACGAAATGTGATTCAAACATTTATTAAAACTTACGCAACAATATTACTATCACACTATATTAACTATCACAAAACCTTAACTACATCTTATCAAATATTAGTAACTTATAAAACAGGACAGAATTAGCACGAAATTTATCATAATAACATGAAGGTAGACATACAATAGAAACAATTGACAAGTAAATGACAACCAGAGGGCGCCACTCAGGCAATATGCCCACAGTGGCAAAATAATTCACTGCAAGTTAACAGAGCCATTCACTGTAAAGGATGGTAAAAGAGTTAGACAGGACATTGATGACCCACTTGATAAAAATAGCCATCTAAAACATGGATATCATACAATATACTGTGACACCCATATAGTTATATATACCTTGAAGTTCTTGAGAGCTAGTATCTGTTACATAGAATATGTGTCTACGTGAAGTTAACTAGTCGAATCTCTGTAAAAGTTTCTCCTATATGCATTGCTTACTTTCATTTTGGTTCCTATTTCATAAACATTAGAAATGTTAAAAATAATATCGAAATTCCCTAATTTTTGTGCGATTAGTAACAAGTTAACTCTTTGATATTTATTATCAGATTCTTGTATTGTGTTTCCAAACAAAACTGTAAATCTTAATTTTTTTTAAGAGTTTTCTCTTGTCGGTACGACTAATTTATGCATTTTCTTCCAGCCAGTTCTACTTCAGGCCATATCCTTGACCTCCCTATACGACATGACACCTAGTGTTTCCTTTATCTGTCCCATCTAAATTATTTCTAGGTTTTCCTCTTCCTCTTTTGTCTTCTATTTTTTTAGTATGCTCTTTAAAAAGTTGTCATGTCATATAAGGCGGCCCAGCATTTTGTCTCTTCTATTCTCTATTGTTTTTATTAATATTTTTTTTTCGTTTTCAAAACTTCCTCATGCAAGATGCATCTTAATGCAATCTTAATTATTAGTTTTTATTTCTTAAAACGAGTGTATACAGTATCAGTTTTGCCTTTTTATTTATTAACTTTTTATAGTATTATCTAAAAATAACCAAAAAATTGCAATTTGTTCTTGTTTGAAAACACCTATATTATTATTGTATATAAAAATAGCCACAAAATATTTAAATGTTTGACGCAATTCCGACAATTCTTACTTCAGTAACAACTAGTGGTCGAACAGTGGTTGAAATTCAACCATAATATATATATATTATAATAAATAAATTTATTATGGTTATGTTTGACATTTAGTAAGACTATGGACAAATAATATTAATCTATTCTCAATATGACCACAGACTAATAATAAACAAAAGAGTTATATGCGTATGTGTGTGTCAAATACATGGTAGTGTGTGTGTTTTTTTTTATTGATTTAATGTATTTTATATACATAATTTAAAAAAAATATTAGCACTCTGCTCCCCTTCTCTATATAAAATATATGTGTGCAAAATTTGATACTCTTCCGTCCGCTCAATTTTCATAAAAAGAGATATAAAGTTTTTACTTCACGTAATAATATATAGAGAAATAGATAGTTACTACGGTATTAATAGAAGTCACAATGTAACTAGCCGATACGTCGTGATTATATCAGTTTTAAATATTTATTGGTCTTTGTCATTATCTATCCAAATTAAAATGTTATCTATAAAGAAGGACCCCGCATCAACTTGTTTACAAACGTGTAAAACTATGTACTTTTATGCACCAAATGTATTGTGGTACATTGTTGGTTCAGTTATTTAAGTTTTGGGTCTTAGTTGGTGCGAAGTTTTTTCTTCAGTTTTCTTTCTATGTGCATTATAAACTTGAGAATCTGTTTAAAACTTTAAAATCTATTTTTGAAACTGTCAAGTTCGCACTACGTTCAAAACTTTATTAAGTTACAAAATGTTTTATGTCCTACCCACTAATAGTATATATACATGAACGGAATCACATTCCGTATCTAGAGCAAGAGTGAAAATTATTGTAGGTAGATATGTAATTTGAAATTTTTTACTACTTGTAAATTGAAATTTTCATAAACATCTCGGCAATTATAATAATATTATTAGAAAACTCTTTAATACATTATAATAGGTAGGCATCTTGTTTCAAATTATTGCGTACGATAATTGTTGCTGATGTAACTGGCAGCTTTTATAACCATAATATAGGTTTTTTTTTTATTTTTCATAAATTCAATTTTTTTTAATTCTCAATTTCCGTTAAAAGAAATGCGTCCAGTACATTCCTAGATGATTGCAATTTCAATATGTTTTCAATTTTTTTAATTTAATTATTTATAATAAATAAAGGGGAGACTTTTCCCCATCTGGAAAATATGCAGAGTACCTATACAAAACATCTATATATTAGTTCATAATATGACATGTATGTCTTTTATCCATAGGAACAGCTTAGACTTGAATATTTCGAAGTGAAATGAATGGCACATTATTTTTTTCTCTTGTCCGAGTGCCTAATCAATAAATATCTGAAACAGTATGTGACACGTGACCTGCTTTACTACCTCGAGTCTAGAGACCTCCCTATTCCTAACACTTCAGTGTTAATTACGTACTTTCCATTTTTCTCTCTTGACATCTTATTAGGACGTCAATATATGAATTGGCGAGCACCAAACAGTCGATCCTTTCAACTGCAATTATCAATTCTATTTCATAAGCATTAGAGTTTCAATTTAAATGCTGATTGTGCTTATAGTGTCGGCCGGTGCCGGTGTCACGTTCGGCTGTTGAATTGTGGGATCCAGTAATGGGATACTGTCCGTAGTCCTGTAATAAATATTAACTATATGTAGTTCAGGGTCCTTAAAACCAAACTAGGACGAGTGCGAGAACACTTCTAGCACGTTGGGGGTAAGGATTATTAAATTATTAATAATGGAGATTGGTAGCAAAGAATGAGACTATTAGATCTCCATTTCATCCATCGACCTGATACCGCCTGCGCTAACAATATATGCTGGCCAGTGAAAGATGACAGGTGAAAATAAAATAGCAGGTCAGACATTGTGACAAATTCCATAAAATTCCATTCCTTATCAATAAAAAACCTAATGATATGTAGTTCTAATCTTTAATAATATTATAAATGAAAAATGAGTTTGTTAACTCTTTGCGTATCTGAAATTTGGAATACATGTACTATATGGGATGGAGTAAAATAAAGGCTATTTTTATCATGATCACGCAAACGAAGTCACAGGTAAAAGCTAATACTAATAAAGAGGAAAAATTTCTTTTTTCTAACTGTAATGGATAAAATTTCAAAAGTTCTTAACCGACTTTAAAAAAAATCTCTCATTTATAGAAAGCTACGTTATAAGCGAGTATCTACCTAGTATGGGTTGTGTTTTTTTTTGTTAATCTCACCTGGTTCTCGTCATCGTGGGCTCCGTGATCACCTCCTCGCAGCACGGTGTGTTACTCTTGTTGCGTACGATGGGCAGAGTCGTGCAAATTGTAGCAGTCAGGTATACGTACTGATGTTAAATACATAATATATTAACATTTGACTACTTAGCTTTATAGTTACCGTCATAGGCATATTTAAGCATGGGGTCAGGTCGACCATGCCCACCCCCAAAATTATCTAGAGCCCACTCCATGATCTGAGCAAAACTTTCAGATATGCGCAAAGACACATTTGAGAGTAGGTACATATGCGTCTTATTAAAGGGCGTGGCCTCATTTTAAAATTTAAATACAGCACTGATCCCACTCAGGTAGACTATGCTCACTCTAGGATTGTCTGATGCCCATCCCACGATGCGAGCGAAACTTTTGGCTATAGGCAAACATGACTACCTACATAATTTGCCCTTTTTAAAGGGCCAGGCCTGCCTTCCCTGGAAAACAATCTTCAGTACTCCAATCTAGGCGACGGTCATCACCTTCTATTTCACAACTCGTTACCTTATTTGCCTTTTATTTCCAGTTTACATAAAAAAAAATATTTCTGTTTACTTACCATAGCAACAACCAGTATCAGGTAAATGGTGGGCGTGGACCAATGCGCTGCGTTCTCTATAGCCACCACACCCATCACCCAGTTTATGGCGAAGAACGGTTCCAATACCAAGCACAGGTTCAGATAGGTCTTCAGCTCGTTCCCCTCGGTATTCCAGCTCCATTTCCACGAAAGATTGTCCATGTATAGCATGTTCAGTAAGCCCTTGTCTTGGATTGTTTTGGCTTGGTTTGACTGTAAAAAAATACCGTTGTACATGTTACGCAGCGCCATCTAGTTCTAACTATGTAGAGTAGAGGGAAAGAGATTGTTAGTAATGCTGGCAATAAACCCTATCAGGTCGACCTCCACGCGGTTTCCTCTGGAAACCATTGTGGTTAATTCTAGTAAAATTTGTCACGATGGGCTAACTGACCTGCTTTCATCCTTACCTATCATCCCTCACGGGTGCCCCGCCAGCGTATACCGATAGTGAGGGGGGGGGGGGCGTACCATTCCATTATCACCCATTAAAAAAACTATGTAGAGTATGGGGCGAGGGATTGTTAAAGATGCGGTCTATCAGTACCATTGCTAGCAATATACCCCATCAGGTCGACTTCCACGGGATCCCCCTGTAAATCATCATGCTGAATTCCAGGTGTATAACAAAGTTAATTTTTTAAAAAAATGTTATAAATTTAAATTACATATGGCAACTAAAGTGATTTTGGATAACTATGAAAAAATAATTTGGCAACACTGATATTGTTTGACTTCCGTGTTTGCCGTTCAATGGCGTTCTGTAATAAAAACTTGTAGTTGATTGACAATTTTGTTAACTGACATATTTTCATTACTCAATAGACCCTTACAAATAACACTGCGCGTATTATTTCATAAACCAAATTCTAGTAGTGTATTCATCACGATGGGTTAACTGACCTGCATTTTCTTTCTCACATAACATACCTTACTGATGCCTCGCTAGGGTATACCATTAGCGCAGGCAATGTTACCATTCCTTTACCATCAATTAAAAGAAAACTGTAGAGTTTATTGTATGGTTACTATTCGAACGAATTCGTCACAACGGACCAACTTTTTTTTAATAAATGATAACGGAATGGTAAACTCGCCTGCGCTAACGATATACATTGGTGGGGCATTAGTGAGGAATGGTAGGAGGATAATGAAAAAGTAGATCAGTTAGCCCATCGTGATGAATACATTTGGAATTCAGCGCGATGGTTTACAGGAGGAACCGTGTGGAGGTCGACCTGACAGGGTAGGTATGTTGTTAGCAATGGGACTGGTAGCCCGCATTACTAACAATCCTTCAGTCCGACAGACTAACTGACCTGACTTTATACTCGTCGTTTTATACTCCACAGGAATACAGGAGGGTGCACGATTTAATCTTTATTAAAAAAAAATCAAAACCGTCGCGTTACATAAGTACTTTATTTACCCGACAAATCTATATTAAAAGAGGTTTCTTCAGGGTCGGCAACGCACGCATAATACCTTTATTGTTGCAAGTGTTCATAGGCTACGGTAACCACTTACCATCGGGTGGGCCGTATGTTTGTCTGTCACCTCAGTGGTATAAAAAAATAAAAAAATTGTAATATATGTGTTAATTTAACGCTACAGTTTAAGACCGTTCATAACTTGCGTAGCGAAATGTTGCAACGTCGAATTATCTGTTAATTTTCAAAAACAATTTAACATTTTAAATTTTTCTTACCGATTATTTAAAAGTGCTTCGCTAGCAAACTAAAACGTTTCATCGTATATCATAGAATACATTGTATATAAATTAACCACTAAAATTTTGCACCTACTTCATATTTTGCTTTGAAATTTTTCAAATACATTTTAAAAATCAAAATCCTAATTTACGGCGACAGCTTAATAAGATAATTATGGCTTGATTAACGTTTTGTTTAACTAATAGAGTAATCTTTAAATAATTAATCACAAACATTGAAAAATGTTCATTCGGTTTTGTAAATTAATAGATAACTTCGACTTATCATATTTCGTCATAAATGCTCTTAAATATAACTGTAGTTATTAAACATACGATTCCCCCTGACATATCTTAATAACGTTCAATATCAAAGTACCCAATTTATTATTTCACTGTCACATCTCTTATTTAAACCTGAACATATGCCAAGAAAGTGTTGGCAAAAGAATAAGGATGTTGTCGACTAATATACGTCGACAAGAAAGTCGGTAGGTACATAGTATAAAACAGAGGTACCGCAGACAACTTTGTACGCAGTTTCCGTTTACAATGATTATTGAATATCAATTAATTTCTAAAATAAATATCTTTATTACGATTGTAACCCGAAAAGCGACAGGGATATTTTATCGACAAAGATAAAACTACTAAATGCTTTAAATAGAAATAACTGGTAACACTCACCTCATTTACACCGTCGCCGTTCGCATCACCATTAGGTATGCCCAAATTAACGTATTGGCAATCGTCTTCACTCAAATTATAATCTCTGTCGAGTGTATCAGAGCTATCGGTATTTTTCCTGCTGCTACCCGGTGTATAAATATCAAGTGTGTCAATACTACCATTTTTATTTTCCTCCATTGGTTCGTTTTTAGGCCAATTTGCAATATGGTGGTCGACCAATTCTTGTATTTTCGCCGTCAGCATTTCAGCCTGTTTCTTATTAACGCTTTGGAGGCCAAGTATAATGATTGCTGTATTAATGAGTATGAGTATCATGGCCGGCACCATGAAACCCATAACCATACCTTTTTCTATGGACATCCAGCAGTAATGTTTTATTTCGTAGTGTTCCATTGATAACGCATAGTTGAACTGTAAATAATAAAATACATTTAAAAACAAGTCTATTTTGCTTCGCAAAAAAAAAACGCTAGTGCCCTATCGAAAATGAACAATTTAAAAAATATGTAGCCATTTTTACTTAGAATGATGTAAGAATTCTAATGTTACCCCATATATCCAAATCGGAGCAGGTATTTAAAAGACATGGTAGAATAAAGAAACATAATTCGTGTATGAACACTGAAAACATTACACTCCTTTTTTCGGCAGTAGTGTAATGAAGAAAATTATTATATTTCAAAAATAGTCTAAATAGTTTCTCTCGCGAAAGAATTGAAAAATAATCTCCATTTTGAAGGCAGTTTGATATTTTCATTTCTTTTTCAAAGTAAATCACTCACCATAACTACAATTGCCGGTACTCCATAAGCCAATAGATAATTGTACTTTAACGGCAGCAGAGTATCACAAGCGCAATATTCGGCAACAGCAGCAGCCAACGCAACGATCCACATTGCGCATGACACATGAGTATAGTGCAAAAGAAGAGCAATCCTTTCGCATTGTGAGGGAGAGGACACGCCCTGCGAATAAGTATCAGTGCGTTAATGTTAATCCATGTGCACTGACACAGAAGTTAATAGCAGAGCAGAATAAGTTTGAAATGGCGCTATGACAGACTAATTATATAACTGATTATTCCTGATTAAATATTTATATTATGTAAAGGATCATAAAAAAGATTTATATAAGAATTATGAATTTAAACGAAATTTTACTAATATTATAAATATAAAATGGAGTTTGTTTGTTACCTATTGGTGCCTCTATGACTCAACCAATTGTAGTGAGTTTTGTTAAACAGATATACAATGTGAATGTGGGTAGATATAGATGCAAGTGTGGACCTAGACTAACTTATTATGATCAGATAGACTGTGTTCTTTCTAAAGGAGTAGTCGAGATTGTCCGAAACCTATGTGCACGCATGAGACGAGCTACGAGAGTGCAGGAAGCAAAACATGTGTGTGATAAAGAATTCTTTGGCACTTGACTCTCTCTATCTACTCTGCTAGAAACCTAACGTAAAGATAGATATACTAAGGAACGGATACAAAAATGAGGCAGACGGATACTCACCATTGCAGCTTGTATGTAAATAAGCGTACAAGCAATAAGGCAGCAACACAAATTGATGTTGATAGGATAAAGTTTGCTACTCCTGCGGAACTCTGCTGCGTACTCACTCCACATCAGCCACATAACAGCGGCTATGAGTAAGATAACCGCAATACCGCTGGTAATGAAGATCTGTCAGAAAAGAGGATAATTATTAAATTCTAATTATCTAGTATTAATTCTTCTCTTATATCTTCAGTAATATCAAAATCCATTAGTAAGATACTAATACTGTGTATCGATTACTGACATAAAAGCTTTAGGATCTTTGTCATATAAAGTGTTTTCAAACCTATTTAACTAAGTATTAAACTAAATTATTTTTAACAATGCCTTCATAAAAGTTAATAACGCTAACTGTATTGCTTGAAAAAATAAACCAAACTATTTTATCCGAAGTAGTATCGAACCTGTTACTGTTATATAATCGCTAGAGCAACGTGTTAAGCAAATTAAAAACCATTTTAATAGCAAACAACTTACCAATATCATCCATTCATTCCTTACTCCGTGACAGTTATTAAACCCATACAGATATGTGACGCTGTCTATAATGTTATGCTCTTTTAGGTCTGCATCAGCTAAAGAGTCATCAGGTAGGTCAACTTCGGGCTCTGGTAGTTTGTTTTCTATCTGCACCTTATTTACTGTCCGAATGAAAAATATGTTAATTTTGTTATTTTATTATAATCTATATGAGAAAAATTGTGCATGGACATGGCGAAGAAAAATCAACTGCTCTCCATGTGAAGTTTTTTCTCTATACCCATGGCTAAAATACCAATAGTCTTATTAAGTATGAATCCTAACTCATATATAATCTCTACACATCAGGTAAAAAAACAATTTATGGTATGTTAAATATAATACCATTTACACTGAGTGATTTACAATGTTACATGACTATGCAACTTTAATATTTGAACTTTCTAAAATTAGTAAACATAAACAACATAATGTACGAAAAAAAAACCTAAAATAAAAAAAAAAAACAAATGTCCAATGCAATTTCGAGTTTACTTACCTTGATTGCTCTTCGCTATAAATTCAGGGTTGGGATACAAAGGTGGATTATCGTCGTATATGGAAGACGTAAAGTTCGATACAACGCCACCGTACTCCGTATCGTATGAAGTTATATCATAATCTGGTCTGTCCTCAGGTTTAGGATATGTGGCCTTATGATACTTAATTGATACCGGTTGGAAGGACCGATATGACACCAACTTTTGATTCTTGAAAAACCCATCATCAATACTCGATCGTCGTACATGATGAGATGTTCTGTTTTGTTGTGATGCTGAAATTATTAAAATTTTATTCCCCAAAAATAATCACAATCTTTGCTACATTTTTATATTCTTATTGTCATTCGAAATTTATATATTTTTTTGACATATTGTTTTTACATATTGTTAAAATATATTTTGCTAATGTCTGTCTCCTCATCTTTTCTGTAGTTTTCCATTCTAAAATCCTCTCATTACATATTAAAAGTATTATCTCCGTTTCAATAACCTTAGTCGTAACATACAAAAAAAATATTAAAGTTATTTGAATAGTAGGTTTGTTAGTGCCTTATACATTCAAATCATCAATATCATATCAACCATTATTTGTCATTGTTAAACATAGGCACCCCCAACCCCAATTTGGGGGTTTTACTAGTAGTTGCCACGCTTGTCAGGTGAATTATGCTATGTAAATTAGGCTTTACCACACGGCGATGATACATTAAAATATGTAACTAAATATCTTATAGTTATAAGATGTTAGGTACCTTATATACTTATCACGCGTTACAACAATGATAAAAAAAAAATTAAAATAACTACATTTAAAAACGACTATTTTTTATTTTGAGTAAACTTCTATATTAATGCAGTAAGTTTTATATGTTTGTTAACAATTTTTATATTACATAATATGTATTATTTTTATATGTCAAAAAGTTTTAAATTTAAATGTGGAAATAACGGTGTGACAGTAGGATAAACTTTTTTTTTTTAATAATATTTAAAAAAGTGCATGCTTTTAAGACTTGTTTAAATCTATGGCCTTTGGCTGATGGCTTTCGCCAAAGTCACAATAAATGAAAAAAAAAAATCTATGGCCTACTAGATTTGATAAGAAATATTTTATTATCATTATTTTATTTTCAAAAACAAATTGCATTTAATATGTATATAATATTTTTTTAATTATTTCATGAATTTATGTATTTGGTTTGTACTTTTGGTTATTATTTCGTTTCCAAATTTAAATTTTTATATCGGTATACATGGAAAATTCATTATTACGGGTATTTTCATTTTTGTGTGCAATACAAAAGTCTTATAATGAATTAATTTATTGTAATTTTCGTTTATCGAAACTATCCAAATTCCCATATAGTAAAAAATATTTTACTTATACGAAAATAAGGTCAAGGTCAGATCAATACAAGGTAAAAAATTTTTATACTTGTATTTGGCGTTTGAAATGGCTAATTACTTATCTTAAATTGAGTTATTATTCTAAGCTTAAGCGTTTTTTGGGGTAGGCAGGACTTATAGACGGACTCTTACTTGTTTTTATATATTTAGCAGATATCTAAACTGTTCAAGTACTTACTAAAACTAAATAGACATACAGTAACTCGTTACATACCTCCAACATTCACGCACGATACAAAGAAAATAATCAAAAAAACCAATTTAATAATGATTCCGCACATTATACATATATCGATTTTAGTTAATTCTTTTATAGTCTTTTTCAGTTAGGTATCAATGATGCAGATGCATAGATCTTTTACAGCTTTACATTTTGTATTTTCTAATACAACAGATGTAAATTCATTTGTTTACTATTAACATCAATAAAATAATATTATGCACATTTTCCGTGAAAAATCGATACTAGAGGGACATTCCGTTTTAAGCAAACTTAAAGTTATATTTAATCCAGTCGTTTATTATACAATACATTCATGCCATATTTGCATATTTATTTTTCAAATATTTTATTTTGAACTATCTCGACTACAAAATAATTTTATGAATAAATGTTATTTAAGCAAAAAAATAAGACTAGTTTCTAGCAACACTGATCACCTGTTTGTTTTGACAAATACATAACACCACGTGACGTCTGTTTCCTCAGTCAATTTTGTTTTGATCATACCAAATTATTTGTAATGTAACCAAAAATACACCAAAATGAGTGCAATTTTAAAATTTATCCGTGAAAACCACATCCTAGCCCTAATAGAACAGGCCATTGTTAAGAAAAAATCAAGATTGAGTCTCAACGCGTTCGAAATCACGGAAATCCCATCTCTCCTATATACATGTTTGGAAGTGCAACATCTTTATTTACATAAAAATAAAATAACAATCGTGCCAATGCAAATAACACAGCTTATAAACTTAACTACGCTAACTCTCGATTATAATAACATAAATTCATTGCCATCTGAGATCGGCAACTTAAAAAATCTTGTTAATCTAAACATAAGTTATAATCCGTTAAAAGTGTTAATACCAGAGATTTTCGAACTTGAAAACTTGGAAGCGTTTTGGTGTAACCGGACAGAATTGAAGGAGTTACCTAAAGAGATAGGGAAGTTGGAGAAACTCGACACTTTTGGGGCGAGGGGAAATGAACTTAAAACTATACCTGAAGAAATGACCACGCTAACAAAATTGAAGTAAGTGAAACTATTGTACATGCTTTTATCTTACTGAAATTAAAATCATGCATGTAATGCATGCTTTTCGTTTTTTTTATATATAGTTTGTATATTACCATATATTCTTTTTATTTTTCTACTTTTTTTTGATGGGTAAAAATGGATTGGTAACCCCTCCTGCGCTAATGGTATATGCTGGCCAGGTACCAGTGAAGGGTAATCGATGAGATTGAAAACAGGCCAGTTAGCCCATCATGATGAATTCATCAGGAATTAACCATGATATTAGCAATGGAATTTTTAGTCTCCATTACTAATAATCCCTTTCCCCTCTTATTTTTCTATTTAAACATATAAAACATGTGAAAAGCATGTGGAGGTCGACTTGATAGAGCATATTGCAGGGAAGAGATTGTTAATAATAGGGTCTAAAAGCCCCATAACCTATCCTGCTCATCAATGGTTATCCTTTGTAGCAAAAAGCAGACTCACTTAAATTGACTTATATGATTTCAGATGGTTAACTTTAGAAAATAACCAGATAGAGACAATGCCAGATACAATGGACAGGATGGAAGCCCTTGTACATTGCAACCTTCGCCACAATAGGCTCCAGGAGTTCCCGCTGTCAGCCCTAAAATGTCCTGACCTGATGTACTTGCAACTTAACCATAATCAGGTATATAATTTAGAACTTGCTACCATTGGATTGACTTAGGAGATACATTATCTATTGTAAATATCATCATCTTTATATCAGCCTTTAACAGTCCACTGTTAAACATAAGCCTCCCGTAGAGGATGGTTTTATCAGAAGTTGCCAAACTTGGCAGGTGGTTTGGCAATAACAGGCTTTAGAGATGTTTTAAGAGGGACTCTGCTGCCCATCTCTCGCCTTCCTTTAGTGCCCTTTTATGACACCCACGGGAAAAGAAGGGATAGCCTATTCTATGCCGTAACCACATGGCCAAATTATAAATTTACAGACTAACTATAGAACATATAGTTCAGTTTTTAAGAAGCTTTCCACCAAATTTTAGCAATCTCTGAATTACTAGAAATTGATGATGATATCTTCCTCTTATACTTTACTGAGGGCATAGGATTCATAGACGAAGACACTAACAGAAATATTATTAACTGTTTTAGTGCCATTGATTTTTACTCATTTCTACTTAAAAATGTCAAAAAAATCTTTGTCCTTTTGATGTCATTCTCTTGCAAATATGATCCAAATTTTAATATTTTTTTAAATCGAGCTAAACAGCAACTGATTTCACATTTCGCGGTACTTTTATCGAGGGTAATGGTGCTCGTCTGCACGCAAATGATTAAATATGAAAATAATATTGCAATAATTACTGTTTTTTTAAATTTTTTAGTAGGATTATAATTATTAATAATATTTCAACAAATACAAATACAAATAACTTTATTTTGTTTGAAAAATGGTATAAAAGATGGTATATACTATTTAAATATTGTTCACATTTTTCACTAGAATCTGACATACAAAATTTATTTAATTGTGCCACTATACTATGCTAATACTATTTTACTTAAATCGTCATATTATATAAATGTCAATATATTTACGTATTAATAATAAATTATACAGATTACAAATTACAATCATTTTACAAATTACATTAATTGAGTCACATATTTAAGATTTAAAATATTCAAAATATTCATTAACCGAGTAAAAACATTTTTCTATGAGCCATCTTTTTAGTTTTTTTTTTAATATATTCAAGGGTAATGTTTTTATTTCGTCCGTTAATTTATTATAAACGCTTATTGTCATACAGTTACATTACATTTAGTAAATTGATAAGCATCTTATTGTAAATGTTTATTTCAATGATTATTCAAATTTCTAAAACAATTTTTAAATATTTATCATTTCAATAAATGTCCTGTTTTAATTGGACAACTCTGATTGGTTGGTAAGTATGCATATAAGTCTACTAGGAATTTGGAGCCAGGAGACAATAGATATCTTAAATGGAGGGATATTGTAAGGCTTAATACGCAGGATATGCTCTACTTTATTCTATTATTTTATATTAGAATAAAGCAGGGGAAGCAAAAAGATCCCAATAGATTAACATGCCATAGTTTGTAAGCTGACCCCACAGGTGAATTGAAAATAAATATCCTACTTTATTATTTATAATTTCAGATATCTTCATTGCCTGTGGACTTTGATACAAGCTTCTTGGCTTTACTGGAAATGATCGACTTGCGGTCGAATCCAATATGTGAACTGTCACATATAGTAAGTATTAATAATTATAGAATATATGTATGTTGATTATGGCAACTTTTGACCCAAGGCAGTTTTTATTCTGAATTGTTTGGTGCCCACCTCAATAAGCTCTCCAAGGGGCTTGAAAAAGATTGTTAGTAATGGGATTTGATGGGAACAGCCCCATTGCTAGCCTCAACACAGTTCCCCTGGAAACCAGGGGGGAAGGGATTGTCAGTAATGCTAGAAATGTGCCCTATCAGTTCAACCATCCAGTGAAACCGTCATCATGAATTACTGGTGTATTTATCATCCTCCGTTATCATCCCTCACTGGTGCTCCGCCACCGTATGTCACTAACGCAGGTAAGATTACCATATCGATATCATTCATTAAAAAAAACTGCCTAAAAACCATCATGGTTAGTTCTTATAGAATTTGTCACGAAGGACTAACTGACCTGGTTTCATCCTCGTCTATAATAGCTCACTGGTGCCCCATCAGTTTATACTGATAGCGCAGGCGTGGTTACCATTCGATTTTCACAAATTTAATCCTCTAGTAAGTTCTACTGTCTCGCATATTAGGACCACCCCTTAGTGCGGTACACGGACGAGCCGCCAGCGGAGCCCCCGGCGGCTGCGGCAGCGGCTGGGTCTCGCGCGGCCGCTCAGGCGCTGGCCATCAACGCTACCGCGTTACGGCTGCCGGCAGTACCCGCACAGCGATACGTCGACAGGGACCCTCTCATTATGGGTAAGCAGAAGTTTCTCTTATGAATGATGATGTAATAGTATCCCGCCAACGCATACATAGCGTATATATAATATTGAGTGGTATAGCGATAGATGAAGGTGAAATGATGAAGAAGAGATGAAATTAACCACGACGGTTTCCAAGAAAGACAGAATAAAAGTAATGTTTTAACTAACAAAAGGAAAAGAGATTGGCAAAACATGAATTTAAACTTTCTTCCAACAACCTTCGAAGTAATGTAGTAAGCAATTGAAAATTAAATAAATATATAATGTACCTATATAAAATAACCTATTTGTAGGTGAATTCTATAGTTAATATTTGCATGCCATTTGATGTGGCGAAACATAATGGACATCTTATAAACTTGACAAATGTAACATCTTATCTATAATGTTTCTGGCAAATAAATTTCATTTCATTTCAATGAAATAACTACATAAGTCATTTTTTTCAAATGGCTAATGGAATAGCCTGCATTGCTAATATACGCGTACAAGGCATCAGTAGGGGGTGATAGGTGAGGATGAAAAGACAAGTCATTTGGGCCGTCGTGACGAATTCAGCTAAAATTAAGCACTATAATTTACAGGGGACTGCGAGGTAGTCGACCTGACCCTATATTGCTAGTAATGGGGCTATTAATATATATATATATATATATATATATATATATATATATATATATATATATATATATATATATATATATATATATATATATATATATATATATATATATATATATATATATATATATATATTTAATATTATTATAGACATGGATTTCGACGCGTCGTCAGTAGAATCATCAGAGGACTGGGAGAACAGTGTGAACAGTTCCGAACTGGACGTACAGTACCAGAGCGATGAAGATAGACTAGAGAATGAGGTAATACTTTTTAATTTGGTACAGAGTACTCAATCTGCTAACGTATAAAATATGCAAGTACACAGTACTACTGTCTTTCTAGTTTCAGTAACATGCTTATGTTTTCTACTACCTCATTACACATACATTGGTTAGAAACACATCAAATCCTGCCGAAATATATTTAAAATAATGTCGAAATATTACCAACTTACAACAAAAATATATTTTAGATATATTATAGTACATTTATTTTATTTAGTTTCAAAATATTTTATACGTATGTATATCCTAGTACTTTTTCGCCTCTGTAGTCTTTATTTTCAACCAACTTCTAAAAAAAGGTTCTGAATTCCGTTATTTTTTTTTTTATTTATTACCTCATAACTCTGTCAGTTCTAAACCTATTTGGAAAATTCTTTTTTATATGAGAGGCTATACTATATTTACAGATGCTTTCCGTAGAAATTTTATCAAAATCGTCAATCAGTAGTTTAATTTTGAGACCAAAATAACTGGCTTTGATACAATTGAAGTGTAATTTTTTTGTGAGACAATTTTTTTTATTATTGTATACAACTAACTATAGCTAGTTGTATCCCACGACTGCGTCTGTGAATCAACATTTTAAGTATTCTATATTCTAAACTAGGATATAACCTATCCGTGTATCAAATTTCATTAAAATCCGTTCAGTAGTTGTTTCGTGACAAAGTAACAAACATCCATCCATACGTACAAGTACAGCCACACGAACTTTCACACTTATAATAGTGGTAGGATTCGTATACATTGATAAAGCTGAATTATTTAACTTACTATGATTTGTATCCCCCCCCCCCCCCTTTTCCCATCCTGTTTCCCGCCAATCCGTGCTCCTACAATTGGACGGTATTGTAAACAAGCTAACGTAGATCGCTCAATTCTTCCAGGCCGTCGGCATGGTGTTGCCAGAGTTATCCCGATACGCTTCCACCGCCAGTTGAATAAATTAAAATGGTAGGACACATTTGAAAACCGAATTTTATAAAAAAAAAAAAATGTAAAATTTGTAGCTATAATTTGTTTTCATAGAAGTCAATGAAAATATAAACAAACAAATAATTTTATAGTTAAAAGTTTCGTAAATACACTTTATAATTTAATATAATAACTACCGGTTTTACTTACGTATAATTTAGTCGAGAAAGATCGACTAGTTACGGGTTTAGTTCAGCGCAATAAGCTCGCGCTCGCGTCGCAGCCGCTCAAGATTAAGTGTCCCGAATGATCCGGAAACTAGTCGAGCATCCACGATCAAATTACATGTAAGTTAATCCGATAGTTATTAAATTAAAAACAAATAATTGACTGGAACGTAAAACTGGTTGTGTCCAGTGACAACACAATTAGAAAATCTATGAATGTGTCCATTTGTTAATAATTTAATTTAAAGTTTTTCTTTGATAATTTCAACAAAACTAAGCAATCCATTATGTACTATTGGAACAAACTATACAAAAAAAAGTAGTTATAAAAAACAACAACGACCTTACTTAAATTTTTACATATCAATCTTGTAATTTTTATTCTCTTTTAAACGCACATTTTTTTTATTGTTTACTGTTTTTAGGAGATTTATATCGTAATCCGATAAATATGGTGCTTTTACATATTACTGATAATATAACTAACATTGATGGAAGAAAACTCTATCAGAGTTAAGCTCGCCTTTGTACTTTTGTTTACCTCTGTCATATTTTTATAACTAATGTGTACAATAAAGTATTAAAATAAATAAATAAATAAATTGATAATAACAATTATCTCCTAAAAATAAATTTATAATCGATTTTTTTTAATGCTTTCAATTAATTAACAGCTTTAATACTATTTAAGTCACCAGAGGGAGACTTTGTACAAAAGTCGATTGCTTGGGTACCTCTGTCCTATTCGTGTTTCAACCGCGAAGCAGTTGTGTTTGCATGGCTGTGTTTCGGTTTGAAGTGTCGGATATGGCGTGAATTTACAGGGTACAGAGGAATAACACCTGAGTCCTCAGGAATGGCAACGCATGGGGGGTATCATGGGTGAAACAGTACACTCTGTTATGTCCATGGTACTGCTCATGTCTATAGGCGACGGTTACCACTTTCCATCAGGTGGACCGTCAGCTTGTTTGCCATTCTAAGTTGTATAAAAAAAAAAAAAAAAAATTAAATCGTTAGTGTCTAATCCGTAAAATTTATTAATTGATTATTTAAAAAGTTCTAAAATGTTAATCATTGAATACATTGCATATAAATCTATCAATAAAAATGTTATATCTATTTCATATTTTCCTTCGAAATTTTCCAAAAATCCGTAAAATAAATCTTGTTCTAAAGTTTTTTTTTTATGTAATTTAACAAAAAAAAAGGTAACAAATTACTCAAATGGTTGTACCCCTATTTAGACACATTAGATTTGATTTATTGAGTAATTATTGGAATACTGTAAGTAAAATTATTTTTTTTTTCAAACTACTTATTGATTGGTATATTTTTGATAAGTAAGGCTGTCAATTAATAAAAAAAAGAGTATTTTACATGTAGATAGATATTACATTTGTTTAGTTGCAAGAATTGAAAATTTACAATTGGTGTTTCATTTTTTTTTTCAAACGTAGGTAGTGTAAAGATTGTTATTTATTTTTAAAGCACTAGTGTATAAGTATCAATTACGAGCCAAATATTTGATAAATAAAAGTAATAAATTTGTTTAGTATCTAAACAAATGGTAAACAATTTCATCAAAATACTTTTTTTGTTATTGGCACGCATGAGAATGCTGTGACACCCTTTCTTTCTTTCATAAACACTCGATAGATGTAGGTTGCACCTGTATAAGTTATATATTTTGTATAACATATATAGAAAACAGGCAACACTTTATTAAAAACATGTTGTCAAGTACCTATCTCTTATAATTTATAAAATAGATATATCGTCATAGTCGTAGAATAGTGACGGATCTATATATGTAATCTTCGTCAGATCCGTCAGTATTCTACGACTATGACGGTATTAATTTTCTCAAATCAAATTTATATTTAGGAATGGCTCAATGTTTTTATACAATAATGTAGTTAATAAACCATAATATGGTATACTGTATTATAGCTCAAAATTAATGGTAGAGTGTGAGTAAATTACATAATTTTTTTACAGAATGACTGGCAACACTTCATTAAAAACAATATGTTGTAAAGCACCTTTCTCTTATAACTTTATATTTTAATTTTTTTTTTCAAATTAGAATTACTAAACTTTAATACAAAAGTAATTAATAAATCATAATATGGGTAAAATATTATAGGTATATATTATAGGTAAAATCAAAGGTAACGGGTGAACTAAATTGCATAAATTTATGGTTATGGTAAATTTCTAAGATGGCTGTAAAAATATATCGTAGTTTTAGTTGTATAAAAAAAGTCGGATATCCAAATGAGTAGTAAGTATATATATAATGTATAATCTAATTATATATTACTTCTATGAACAAAAAGATAAATTGGAAATATTTTATAAAAGTATCAAATTGTATTCATGGCGCCAAATTATTAAAAATTATATTCCTATATTCATGTATAATTAATAACATATACATATATAATGGTTGTGTCTTAGTTTTATATAATTAGATATAATACTAATATTTATATAATAAATACTAAAATCATACAAGGGAAATCCCTTTTATGATTTTAGTATTTTAGCTTTCGAGTAAATCATGTATTATCAATCAATCGCTATGAGCGGCCATCTTAAACATCGGCCATTTTGAATATTAAAAAAGCGTTGAATAAGCTCGTCTAAATTTCTTTCTTTCTAAAATATTCTAAATTAGGTTGTTATCATTTGTATGATAACAACCTATTTTTATTTGAAACTGTATGTTATTATTTAAATATGTAGACACATATTTCATTAATAACAAAATATTAAAAGAATCTCATTGTCAAGTTTTTTATTTTTTATTTTATATCAGTAGGAATGTATAAATTACTTTTTTATAAAAACTTTCGTGGAATTAAAATATTTTAATTGTTACAGAAATAATGGTATTATGTTACATTATATATTATATACTTTTTGTATATATTTGTAACAGCAGTTCTAACTATATGATCACAAAATTTCACAATAATATTTGTAAAACTGAACAAGGCGGAATAGTTTAACTGTTAAAAGATTTTTTACTCTTTCGTTCAGTCTGTGTTACCTCTCAATTTGTATTAAGGATATTTCATATTCCGCTTAGGTACTCAGACTTTAGATATTATTTGGTTTAAAATTACAAGGTTTTTGGATTTATTTTTGTCGTTATTTTTTATGATATCCTTTCTAACTATACACTGTATATATTATATTAAATAAGCCATAATGAATTATAAAAAGACATTTAAGTATGCCTCAGTTTGTATTAATTGTTATTTTAGAATATTTACTTATTTTGTTGACTTTATACTATTTTGTGATAATTATAGAATAATTCTTGATAACAATTGTATCATGATAAATAATAATGAAGTAAAATACCAGAGATTCATGTGACCTAAAACAGTTTCTAAGTCCCACTAATAATTCACTTGGTAATAATATAATAACATGGGGTTCTGATGGTTTTATAAAGGGGGGGGGGGGGGAAGCAACGCGCGCGTAACGTACCTTGATGTTACAGGGATTACGGGGTTAGCCTGTCGACAGGCTATGGTAACCCCGTTTACCATCTCTAGCTCTATGCTCGTTTGCCACCAAAGTACTATAATCTAAATCTGTAATTTTGTTGGATTTTACTATATAATTGTTTTTATATATAAATTATTGTCTTTGAACTGTAAAATTATAAAATTCAGGGTCTCTATGTCATTGCAAATATATGTAAATATACTGAATGTACAAAAAATACAATAAATATTTGTTTTTTAAATTTTGATATTTCATTTTACTTTGCAAGCATTCTCATTCACTCGTTCATTTCCAAACATGTATCCCAAATTGTCTATAGCATGTTTAAAATTTACAGGTTTTTATTGGGTGTCAATGGAATAGTAATCCCGCCTCCGCTATGGGTATCAGCACCAGTGAGGGGTGATAGGTGAGGATGAAAGCAGGACAGTTTGCCCATCGTGATAAATATAACAAGAATTAACCACGATGTTTTCCAGAAGGAACCATGGTTAGAGGTTGACCTGTCAGGGTTTATTGACAGCAATGAGGCTTTTAGGGCTCTATTAGTAACAATCTTTCCCCCCCCCCCCATAAGTAATACAATTAAATATGTAAAGGGTGGCAAAGGTAAAAATAAAAGACTAGAAAGAGTTTATTTTTTATTTAGAAAGTATATTTTTATAAACCATATATTAATTTTTATTCTTTATCACGATTTATTTCCAATTTTTTTTTTCTATTTTATAAACTTTACATTCGTTTAGAAATACATTTTATTTCTGTTCGTACGTTCGTTCGTTCCCTGAATGAATAGATGTCATACATCTTTTCAAAGTTTTTATATGAAAAAGCCATAGATTAAAAATAGTACTTGAAACTTCTAACTTTCTTAAGATCTTGGGGGGAAAAGGGATTGTTAATAATGGAGACTGAGAATCCCATTGCTAGCAATATACCCAACCAGGTCGACCTCCTCGCGGTTCCCCCTGGGAAACTATCATGGTTAATTCCTGATGAATTTATCATGATGGGCTAACTGACCTGTTTTCATTCTCATCTATCACCCTTCACTGGTGATCCGCCAGCGTATCCCGTTAGCGCAGGCGGGGTTACCATAGCATTTTTACCCATAAAAAAAAACTTCCTTAAGATCACAGGTTCTATCTTTATTCTATGACTCGGCATTTTATTTAGATATTACTTCGTACTCATACATTTCAGAAGTAGAAAAACCAAAGTAATGGACTATTTCTAGATGTATATATGTATATATATGTATATATATGTATGAATGTGTGTATATATATATATGTATGAATGTGTGTATATATATATATATGTATGAATGTGTGTATATATATATATATATATATATATATATATGTATGAATGTGTGTGTATATATATATATATATATATATATATATATATATATATGTGTATGAACATGTGTATATATATATATGTATGAATGTGTGTATATATATATATATGTATATAATTTTTATATATTTTTAATTTGCAAAAGATTATTTTCTAATTATAAAGCACTATCATACCTACTTGTACAACAATTAGTCCACTACCCTAAGGTTGTCTTGAAAAGATTGCTCTCAGCAATAAAACCGCCTTACTGTACTTATACAATTGTATCGTTGTGTTTGTAAATTACCTTGCTTATTCCTTATATTGTATAATGCAAATAAAGTATACTCATTCATTCATTAATTCATATCACACCTTCATAGTGGTACCCACATAGAATAGACCAGCTTAGTAAATTATATATAATGGTAGAAGGATAGACAGCAGCGTCCCTCTTAAACAATCAATGTCTAACCGAGTTGCCAACCCACCACCAAGCGTAGCAACTACTGGCAAAAACCTCCTTTATGGGAGAGGCCTATGTCCAGCAGTGGACAGTTAACGGTAGATATGATGAGGATAGGCTAGCTTTTGCCTACAACTTGGTATGCATAGTTTTTGTTATATTCGTAAAATTTTCTTAGATATGTTTTTTTCAAAGCTACTGTGGTATTCTTTTTTTTTATATACAACTTAGAATGGCAAACAAGCTGACGGCCCACCTGATGGAAAGTGGTAACCGTCGCCTATAGACATGAGCAGTACCATGGACATAACAGAGTATACTGTTTCGCCCATGATACCCCCCATGCGTTGCCATTCCTGAGGACTCTGATGTTATTCCTCTGTACCCTGTAAATTCACGCCATATTCCACCCTTCAAACCGAAACATAGCCATGCAAACACAACTGCTTCACGGTTGAAACACGAATGGGACAGAGATACCCAAGCAATCGACTTTTGTACAAAGTCTCCCTCTGGTATTCCGGAGTAAGCTCCGGATAATTTCACGTCTATAATTATGCCTACCTATTTTCACGATATGGACTTGAAAACATACGAAAATTTATCAATTAATCTTGTAAATAAAAATCGTTGGACTTAATTATAGTATTATTTAAAAAATAAGTATTATAAATATAAAACGTTATTAACAAAAAATATTATTTTGATATTTTTAAACTTAATTTTTTTCCATTATGACAGCTTTGGTATAAAAAACTATATAAATATATAAGCAGTCTTAAGTCTTCTTCTTCTTTGGTTCTTCAATCTTCTGTAACTCTTCTAGAAGGATGTCTCCTTCGAAGAATGGCGGGGAATCTAGAACAATATCATTCTTTGATTATTCTACAATATCATGGGCGAAACAGTATATTCTGTTATGTCCATGGTACTGCTCATGTCTATAGGCAACGGTTACCACTTTCCATCAGGTGAGCCGGCAGCTTGTTTGCCATTCTAAATTGCATAAAAAAAATGCTACACCAGGCAATTTGTTCGGGTAGCGTCCCCTGGATATAGTCCTAATCATTCTTCATACCATTGATTGTTACTTATTAAAAAAATATGCGTCTACGTACGCATAGTATCACATAGCATACAGAAGAAGCTGTCCCAATAATAATACAAAATTTTGAAACAAATCACAGATAGACTTCGCAATTTGGATCCCTAACAGTTAACACTAGGCTCCGAGAAGCGATCCAATAATTTGGCTGAAGATTGTCTCGTTTAGTGCTGAAACACGTGTCTCAAAACATGCGTGAACAAAATGGCAGTCGGAGATTGATGACTAATATGAAAGGTTGTAGAACTTCTGGTAGTAATAGAGGTGGTAAATTTTCGAGCGTTGGCAGTCACACACATATCAATGGTAGCAGAATAACATAAAATAATTTTAATCAACTAACCAAATCGTGGATAATACAATCGATACATTACGGAAGTATATATGTGTGACTTGATATTTTATCGTTCCTGGTTTAAAAAAAAAACCTTAGAAGGTGCTCTGTTTCATAGACGACTAAAACACAGTGTTTTTGAAAACAGATTGTGTTTCACAAAAAAAAAAAAACTGACATCAAATGTGACAAAACCAGTTATTATTATTTCAAAACTAAACGGATTTTGTTAAAATTTCTATAGGACCAATCTATCAGATAGAAAAAGAATTTTCCAAATCAATTTATAACTGACGGAGTTATGAGGCAACAAATAAAAAAAAATTACAGACTATTGTTTTTTAATATGTTTGTTCCGTTATGGAACAGGCTAAGGTCGGAGACCATGCTGCCTAGTCTTCAGTATGATAATTTGTCTGGAATAAAAATACAGACTAATTGAGAAGCACTTTCTTTTTAAAGTCGTTTTGAAAATGGAACTAGGCGCAGGAATTGAATCTTAAACATCTACAGATAATTATATATGTCTATTACAATGCTATATCTATTACACGTAATGATTTTTAATGAGGGATAGCGAATAAAAGAATCCCCTTGTGGAATGGCGAACGATTACATCGAGACATGCGTGCGGTAACGAAAATGTGTCTACCGTAAAGTTCATTATTTAATTTAATGTAATAATTGCTTCCTTAGACAAGTGGTAAATTTATATTAATACTGTTTTTTTTTTAGCTGACGTGAAGACAGACAGATATTATATAGCACTAAATGACCCGGAAAATGTTGTTTTGCCCCGACAGCCTCATTTTTCTCTAGTCGGAATAAAAACTATTCAATCTCGCAAGTTGGAGCAAAAAATGCATATATATAAAATGTCTTTAAAATCTCTTGGGTGAACAAAGATGGGTGTCATGGAATTTTTATATACCTATTGTATATTAAAATTAGTAGGGAAAATTAATATTTTTGATGTCCGATAGTGATTGTTAGATAAGCAATGGGTAATATATTAGTAACATGCAATTGTATTTTTACCCATTTGTATTTTTATCGTATTTTTTTAAGAGAGGGACTGGCTGAAAACCAGCGCTGTGCAGCTGTAAACATTGCACTGGGACACTCGCAGCATCAGCTGAGCCGGTTCCTTTTGCCTAATATGAGATAATATTTCTATATTTTCTGTTGTAACTATGTTTTTCTGACAATATGTTCTATTCTCTCTTTTCATTTAAGAGTTCCCTCTTGTCGGTGCAACTAATTCATGCATCTTCCTCCAGCCAGCTCTATCCCAGGCCATATCCTTTATCTCCCTATATGACATGACGCTTAGTGTTTGTTACTGCTTGTTCTTTGCAATGTTCTATTCTATTGTATTCTAATATTGATACCTCCAGGATTTCTATGTACCTCTGAAAATGGACGGCAGAAAAAGAGATCCTATTTCGTCATCGCCCATACTAGTCGGTAATCTATATTTATTTCTAGCGAGTTTCTCATATTCGATATTATGTATTAGACGACCGATATTTTATATTTATTTATTTCTTTTAAATTTAAATTCACAGTGATAAATAAAAAAAAAAGTAACTTGCCCGTACTTCTCAGCTGAAATTCGAAATGGGCGGTAGATTCATAAATATTACTATTTCAAAATATTTATTACTAAGTTTACTTGAATATTTTTTTTTTTTACTTATTTTTTAGTGAAATTCTATGTACTTATATTTGGTGGACTTAATACTCATACCGGCCAACCAATGAACAAACAGATAAATATGTAGGCGGTGAATTCGTATAATATATTCATTATTAGCTCAATATATAGTTATTTTAACTATGATATATAGATATCACTACATATTACCCAGCTCTACGGTGAAACGTTAATGATTTAAACAAATGGCAACCCTGAGAACCTGGGCGTGTACACAAGCGTAATTTTGTCGACTATACATCTAATTTTCGCAAGCGGGCAACACCAATATTTTGCAACTTACTCTAGCGACTTGAGCCGACCCACATAGTGTTCTATCGATGTGTATTCCAGTATTTTTGTCACGATCACCGTACTCGATATGTACTCCGTTGAGTACCGCACGATGTACTGTATCCCGGACAATTCTACGGGCGTACTGGGAGCTGATGACAATGGGCCGAGTTTTAGCCAGTGTTGCGAGAAATATATTTATATAAATTATCACCGACGATTATAATATTATTTACAAATAATCATTTTCAATCGATTCCAAAAAGAAGTTCTCGATTCGGTTGTTTTTTTTTTTTTAATATTTATTACCTCATAACTGCGTCAGTTGTAAACCGATTTGGAAAAATCTTTTTTTTTTTATCTAAAAGGATATACTTACAGATTGATCCTAAAGATTTTTTTTCAAAATCGGTACAGTAGTTTCGTTTTGAGAACAAAGTAAATGGTTTTATCCAGACATGATCAACTTAAAGGGAACTTATTCTTTTATATAATTTTTGGGCATTCAATGTTATGATGGAAATTTCCATCATTATGCAAAGATGGGTTAACACAACACATCACAGAATATACTATGACGCCCAAGATACAACATATACTTTGCCATTATCGAGGACTAAGACATTATACCTCCGTACCTTGTAATTGAAAGCATAACTGCATCACGACAGAAACACAAATGGGACAGAGGTACTCATAGAGACCATTTCTTACATAATCCTTATCTGATAGATCTAGAAATGTCTGATAGATTACCAGACAATATCTCTATTTATTAATACGTGGTCTGATATTAAAATGAATTAAGAAATAGTGACACCATTACAGTGGATATAAAATTGAAAGATATTTATTGATAAAACTATTTTTTTTTATTATGTACAAAAGAATTTTACAAAAAAAAAAATATATATACATATACACATCTTAAAGATATTTATTTTATTAAAAAAAATATTTTATTGTATAAACTTATTTTCTATACTTGACATGTTTTTGTCGAAATAATAATAAAATAAAAAGCTAAAATGTAAATATTTTTCTATTTATTAATTATACTTAAATTACTTAATTATCTAAAAATAAATTGTATATACATGATTATTAATTAAATATGACAAGTATAAAAAATTAGATTACACAAAAGCAAGACTAGCTCTAAAAATAGATCTTTGAAACTTTAAAAAATATCTCACTAATTTAGAGAGACAGGAAAAATGTACCCTCAAAACATAAAAATTAAAGAATTAATAATTTGTTAATTTTATTCATAATAATTAATACCTTCTACAAAAACCTATTTTAGCTATTGAAGTAGTCTGTCACTTTCTTTAAAATTAAAATTCTAACGTAAAAGAACAGGGGGGAAGGGATTTTTAGTAATGGGGCCTAACAACCCCCTTTCTAGCAATCCCCATCAGGTCGACCTCCACGCGGTGCCCCTGGAAACCATCGTGGTTAATTCCTGTGGACTTATCACGATAGGCTAACTGACCTGCTTTCATCCTCACCTATCATCCATCACTGGTGCCCCGCCAGTGTATACCTATAGCGCAGGCGGGGTCACTATTTCATTTTCACCCATTAAAAAAAAAATCGTAAAAGAACAAGACAAAACATTTCTATAGCTGAAATAAGGATTATGGGACGTTAAACGTTTTTATGAATAAAGGAGTACGAATATGGTCATACAATTACATACAATACAACACAATTAAACAATTACAAACAAAATATTAATTATTGTAATAAATAAAAAACATAAATATATACACATATAAACATAAAACAATTACATAAATGAACACATACAACATACATATAATGATAAACAATGTTCTCTAATGCGACTCTTGTTGAAGCCAACGCTCGGGCTGCTCAGACACTATCTCAGTTCTTACGGCAATAAATTCCATAGCAATACGGGCGTAACCATAAAACACGTCCAGTATACCTCCTGTGGGGAGATTTTAATGGAAATTTTTGCGGTCTTATAGGATTTTTTATGGGAAAAAAGAATTTTTAAAATCGGTCCACAACTGACGGCGAAATTGGCGGACTTACATGGAAAAATATAAAGTTGAATATAGAACCTTCTCCATTTTTGAAGTCGGTAAATAAAACAGAATGGTAATCTCGCCTTCTCTATCGGTATATAGGGTTAAAAACCTTCAAAAATTGCCTTACGTAAAACTTGAACGTCTCCTGAGGCGAGAGACCTATTTTGAATGGGAGTTTATTTTATCGATTCTTTATACCACAATGGGAGATAGGCGTGACGTACATATATGTATGAGTGTGAATATATAAGACCTTATAATATATTGTAATACAATAAATAGTGTAAAATAAAACAGATAAGAAATCAATTAAGATCCCATTAATGATTAGGAAGCAAACAATAGTGCTGCCTCTACAGAGCGATTTGAGAACTAAAAATAACTATTATAAACTAATTCTATGTATTACTACTTGATAGCTAATGACACTGAGTGTGTGAGAAAAGTGCATTCAATGGCGATGCAAGACTTAAATTAGATATGAAATATCTTTAGAGGGTTCACTAAAGTACATTGCCCATTGTAAGTCCAACTTTTTTAAATTGTGTCGTGATAATCTCTTTATGAACTCCCCCCACTATAGTCGCCTGGTGCGAGGTCCAATTTGCTCATGTTGTATATTTCTTGTATTTAATAAATATATAAATAAATATGGAAATACAATGTAAATTGTTATGAAATAAATGAAATATATATAATGAAAATGTGGGCAAGATACATTTTGCATGAAGTCCTATGGTTTAAAAAGGTTATTAAAAAAAAAACTGTGCACACACTTGACTGCGCCTTTGAGTCCTCTAAATTATTTAGCCCATTTAGCGATTAGGAAGCAATTGTATTACATAATAATATTAATTATAATAAAAAAAAAAAATTGCAATTGTTCATGACATGAACGCGCTGTGTTTGTCTATGCCTATGGGATTTTATTTAAGATAATTTAAAATTGTGTTTCACAAATAAACCAACTTCAAATGTAACTATACCAGTTATTTTGATTTCAAAACTAAATTAGTGAACCGATTTCGATAAAAATTTCTATTGAGACCAATCTGTAAGTATATCTTTTCAGATAAAAAATAATTTTCCAAATTGATTTATAACTAATGGAGTTATGAGGTAACAAACATTTCAAAAAAAAACAACAGAATCTTGCTACTTTTTGGAGTCAATTAAAAAGAGGCATGCATTGGTCGTAATATAATAAATACCTACTTCCATAACCCAACATTAATATTTGTAAAATGTTAAATACCTTCTTTTTCCAATTTAATTTTCCCCCCTCGCGGCACGTCGTCTTCTTTTTCAGTCTTTATTTCAGTTACTAATTTACTCTGAAAAGAAAATTGTATAAATTAGTAATATTATATTAGGAAAACGGTTTTGGTCGATTTCTTTTATGCAACTTAGAATGGAAATAGGTATATTTAAAGGGGGGGTGGGTGGGGGGGGGGAAGCCCAAAGTATTTTTGTTCATTATATATTCTTCTATCCTGTAATAGACTTTTCCAGATAGATTCTCTTTTCAAAACAGCTTTAAAACGTTTTCCGTACCTACGTACAAAATAGATTTTGGCAGTTTATTATACATAATAATGTTTGCTGAATTTTAAACCAAAACATAAGGATTTTTATTTGAGCAAGTTGTCATCTTCTTTATTTGTTTATTTGTCTGGTTGGCATACTTATTTCTTCAGATATCCAAAAATTTTATAATTTTGTGTTTTACGTATACATGTGAGCAGTATATATATATATTTTTTTTATGTATCTGTGTAAGTGTTTATATGCATGTATGTATATATATGTATGTATGTATGTAACTATATTTAGAAATAATAGAATTTTCATCGTGCCTCCGATTGAACTGTTTATACTCGTAATTACTCCTCTCCATCCAAAGGTTGCGTGGAAGAGATCGCTCTTAGCGATAAGGTCGCCTATTATTTTCTCATTGTGATTATTTCTTGTAATTGTTTATATTTATAATAAGTTTACTATAGTAATCTTTTGAAGGAAACAATAAACAGTATCTATTTATGTATAAAATCTTAAACAATTTCTTAAGAACGATATACCGATGTTTTTCAGTGGACACAGTGTTATGTGTTACTAGGTCAGATTTTGTTGTGAAATTATTAAGGTAATGCATGTTAGTATGTTATCACACGTTATTTGTACAGCGATATATTAGTGACACAATCACTGATACTACATCATACCACACCTGCTAATCCTCACTAGCAATATATTGTGTATATATATATATATATATATATATATATATATATATATATATATATATATATATATATATATATATATATATATATATATATATATATATATATATATATATTGTAAATATAATGTATATTTGTTTATGTACACTAAATATTAATAGTTGTAGCACTTCAGCTGCCCGCTCACAACATGCTTTCTAACTGCATTGGGTTGACTGGAAGAGATCTCTGTCAGAGATAAGTCCACCCTTGCTCACAATATTTATAAATGCATTAATAATGTAATTTACAAGTGCAATAAAGAATATATATATATATATATATATATAAAAGTGAAAATGAACTTGTTTGATTGTGTGTTGTTGTGTTGTGAGAGTGTTGTGTATGAGAAAGAAACAAGTGCCCAAACTTAATTTGTAATTTGTAAAACGATTGTAATTTGTAACCTGTATAATTTATTATTAATACGTAAATATATTGACATCTATATAATATGACGATTTAAGTAAAATAGTATTAGCGTAGTATAGTGGCACAATTAAATAAATTTTGTACGTCAGATTCAGGTGAAAAGTGTGAACAATATTTAAATAGTATATACCATCTTTTATACCATTTTTCAAACAAAATAAAGTTATTTGTATTTTAATATCTCGTATTTAAAATAGTAGTAATATACTAGCGACTCGACCCGGCCTCGCACAGGGGAAATTATAGTTTTTTTTTATACAAATTAGAATGGCAAACAAGCTCACGGTCCATTTGATGGAAAGTGGTAACCGTCGCCTATAGACATGAGCAGTACCATGGACATAACAGAGTATACTGTTTCGCCCATGATACCCCCCATGCGTTGCCATTCCTGAGGACTCAGGTGTTATTCCTCTGTACCCTGTAAGTTTACTACCATATCTCATCCTTCGAACCGAAATACAACCATGCAAACACAACTGCTTCACGGTAGAAACACGAATGGGACAGAAGTGATCAAGCAAACGACTTTTGTACAAAGTCTCCCTCTATTATATATATCTTAAAGACAAGGAAACCCGCATCAATATCTGTGGTTTACAAGAAGCGGAGACACAAACAGACACAGATAGCGACTGCGTTTTAATACTATTTAACGGATCTGTAGTACTATAAAAGGATATAGATAGGAAGATTACGGTAGATTAAATATTCTGTAATAAATGGCATACCTTTATAAATTCAGGTAATCCGTCTTGCAGGTGATACCAACTTAGTATGAACACCAGTGATACGAAGAATAGGTTCGAACTTATACCTGTAACAAGAGAAATTGTATTACGTATAACCCGTTAACTGTCCACTGTTGAACATAGGCTGCCCACTATTGGGGGGGGGGGGGGGTTGCCAGTATTTGTATTTGCCACGCTTACGGTTGGCAACCGTACTGATTTTGCGTACTTTTGACTGGTTAACAGTTTTGACTGCTACATCTAATATATAAAATTCTCGTGTCGCGGTGTTTGTTACCAAACTCCTCCGAAACGGCTTTACTGATTTTTATGAAATTTTGTATGCATATCGGGTAGGTCTGAGAATCGGCCAACATCTATTTTTCATACCCCTCAATGATAAGGGTGATCCACCCCTAAATTTTTTGTTTTTACTTTTTTAACAAAATCTTTTATTTTTATTTTATTATGATTTAGCATTGAAAAATACATACAACAACACATTTTTACCTTGTTACGATCAACCCCTGTTTTTTAATCGCGATTTTTATATGCCGCAATAGGTTTGCAAGATGACAATCGAATATAATAATTGTAGTACGATATATTTTCATGTACAGTTCTAGAAATAATGTATATGGTAAAACAACGTTCACCGAGTCAGCTAGTACATATATAAAAATCTCGCGTCACGGTGTTTGTAGTTAACTCGTGAAATGTTTCGACCGAATTTTATGAAATTTTTTACGTGCATTTGGTAGGTAGGAGAATAGGTCGTAAAATATATTTCACATCGCTAAGTGATTAGGGCGTCCTTATCCACAAAAATTTATTTGTATGCAGGAATGGGTAACATATAGCAATATACATATATCGTAGGTACAATAACTATATATTGGATCATTAATGAATATATTAAATATTGTTTATCTAATATTGTATGTAATATCGAAAAACGCGTCTGATTGAAATGCATATAGATATCCGACTGGTATGGGCGATATCGCAATGGGTGATGACCTTTGGTACCGCCATTAATATTAATTACACTGCACTCGAGTATTCTGACACTTCCCTATGGTTGACTGGGAGAAAATACTTTTAGCATTAAGTCCGCCATGTACACATATACGTTTTTTTTTATATACAACTTAGAATGGCAAACAAGCTGACGGCCCACCTGATGGAAAGTGGTAACCGTCGTCTATAGACACAAGCAGTACCATGGACACAACAGAGTATACTGTTTCGCCCATGATATCTCTCATGCGTTGCCATGTTTGAGGACTCAGGTGTAAAATTCCTCTGTACCCTGTAATTTCATTGCTCTATCCCATCCTTCAAATCGAAACAATTACTTCACGGTTGAAACACGAATGGGACAGAGGTGGCCAAGCAAACGATTTTTGTACATAGTCTCCCTCTGGTATGTATATGTGTACATTTTGGAAACACGATATATGTACGATAAATTACTTATTAATAATTAATATTAAAAAAAAAACCCAATATATAGATATTGGAGTGATATTACCCATGCCTAATTATATGGAAGAACAATGTTTGTAAGGTCAGCTAGTATCATACAATAGTGATGGCAAATACATACCAATCAGCGCGGATATCTTCGGCCAGTGGTACATATAGTAGCGCAGGCCGGCGAAGTGCGCCTCCACGTGCAGCTCGCACGAGTACACCTGCGCGTACCGGCTCTGCAGCTCTACGTACGCGTCCGTTATTGGTACATTCTGCAACGAATCAAAAAAATTGCTAGCAATATGGTAACCCCGCCTGCGCTAACTGGATACGCTGGCGGAGCACCAGTGATCGATGAGAATGAAAACAGGCCAGTTAGCCCATCATGATGAATTCACAAGTAATTAACCATGATAGCTTCCAGGGAGAACCGCGAGGAGGTCGACTTGGCTGGGTATATTGCTAGCAATGGGATTTTTAGTCTCCATCACTAATAGTCCCTTTCCCCCCTGGCAACCGCAGTTAGGTTTTAGAGATGTTTTAAGTCCCTTAGTCGCTTCGACACCCACGGGAAAGGAAGGGGTGGGCCTAATCTATGCCGGGATCTACACACAAATAGAGTACTTACTAGCTTTTACTCGCGACTTTGTCCGCGTGACCGGAATATGTATACAGACCGGAATAAAGAGTAACCTATATCCTTCTTCATGTCATAAAGTACGTATACACGTTGCCTTAACAGTTTAGTTTATATAACTATTTTTTTTATACTACTTATAATGGCAAACAAGCTGACGGCCCACGTTGTAACTGTCGCCTATATACTTCAGTCATTAGCCATGGACATAACTGAGTATACTTTTTCGCCCATGATACCCCCCATGCGTTGCCATTCCTGAGGATTCAGATGTTATTTCTCTGTACCCTGTTTATTCACTGCCATATCCCACCCTTCAAACCGAAACACAGCCATGCAAACACAACTGCTTCACGGTTGAAACACGAATAGGACAAAGGTGCTCAAACAAACGGCTAATTACTATGAAATTGTGGGTATATACCCAATTTCAAGTGATTTAACCAATCACTAACTTTTAACGCCTAGTTAAGATACTAAGAGATAAGGAATAAACAAACTCACTTTCATATTTATAATTTTAATAAGGATTATAAACGGCAGGGCTTCCTATAAAATGGTTGAAAACATCGATAATTAGTATTTTCGTCATACTCGTGAACGGGTACTTCTGGTAAGGACTGGTCTATTTAAAAATATAGTATTTGATTGTAGTTTTGTAGTTCATTTTATTTCTTTTTCTCAATACCAAGTTTGTGGATAGTCATTTTATCCATTTATATTTTTTGTTTTTTATAGTTAATTTTGAAAAGAGCAACAGCTGTGTTTCTTGCCCTTTCTTTTTAGGCTGAAATTGCATTCCGAAATGGGCGGTGGATTCATATAAAGTCACTATTCTAAAATATTTTTAAATTACTTGAATAAAAATTATTTATTATTATTGTTAATTTTGTTGCTGTTTTTGCCCTACTTCCCCTTCCCTCATCCATCCTGTCAACAAAAAAGGTCAAATTTTTACTCCAGCGTCGTATTTGATGCAATTATATGACGCCTATTCCCCTAAAGTTGGTACTGCTAACAGTGCAGGTGGAGTTACCATTTTGATACCATAAAAAAATGAACCCACCTCGTCGTCCTCGAAGTCGCTGAACAACTCGACGTGGAGCTGCTGTTTCTCCTCATCCAGACCGGTCAAGAACACGGGAGCCCATGTGAACGTCCTCATTATGTAATGCAGTATTGACCTAATTAGAAATACATATATATTAATATTAATATCTAGTAATAGACGAGAGGTTATCGAGAGGCGACCCCGTATAAGCAACTTGTGAAACGAGCAACCTCTAAAAAATGTGTTAGCAACGAACAATCAATGAAATTTTATTGACCATAGATTATCGCATACATATTTATACTGGAATGTCATCGGATGACCACAGACTGTGTTCAGAGATATAGATGTTATTTCTATTATTGTTATGCTGTGATTTTAAACTTCACCAGAGAGAGACTTTGTACAAAAGTCGATTGCTTGAGTACCTCTGTTCCATTCGTGTTTCAACCGTGAAGCAGTTGTGTTTGCATGGCTGTGTTTCGGTTTGAAGGGTGGGACTTGGTGTGAATTTACAGGGTACAGAGGAATAACACCTGAGTCCACAGGAATGGCAACGCATGCGGGGTATCATGGGCGGGACAGTATACTCTGTTACGTCCATGGTACTGCTCATGTCTATAGGCGACGGTTACCACTTTCCATCAGGTGGGCCGTCAGCTTGTATTATTATAAATTTTCATGTATATTTCTTGAAATAATGTATACTTCTCACATAATATACTAATATTAAAACCAACTACTTTTCTGGTTTCACCGTATTTGGAATAAATTCAGAAATAGGATATTTTTAGTGTAACATGTAAAATGGTTTCCGTGTTAGTTAGAAGATTTTGCCGGTTAACCGTCAATCTTTGACATCCAACAAACTCACCTATGCCTGAGCATTGCTGCCCTGCACGAGGAGGACACGAGAACACCACCTTTGGCTCGCATCTGAGCACACACCATGAACATGCCTAAGAAACAAAACCGGGTCACCGAATTAATTTGAATTTGTAATTTTTTAAACGAATTTTAATAATTATAATAATATAATAAATGTAAAAGTTGGTAACGGTCGATAGATAGACGGATGTCTAGTTCTCTTTTACACAAAAACTACTAAACGGATTTGAATGAAATTTGGTACATGGGTAGGTTATATTCTAACATAGCACATAGGATACTTTATGTATTGATTCACGCGGGCAGAGCCGCGGGATACGGCTAGTTATTAATATTCTTTAGCGATGAATGCATTAGTTGATAACAGCTGTACTACTCACCAAGGGCATGTATTTTATAAATTAATAAGTAAATACTAAACGGTTTATAATCTATTTAATTGTATTATTACCCACTCACCCATACCCATTGCATGGCTGTGTTTCGGTTTGAAGGGTGGGATATGGCGTGAATTTACTAGGTACAGAGGAATAACACCCGAGTCCTCAGGAATGGCAACGCATGGGCGAAACATTATACTCTGTTATGTCCATGGTACTGCTCATGTCTATAGGCGACGGTTACCACTTTCCATCACGTGGGCCGTCAGCTTGTTTCCCATTCTAAGTTGTATAAAAAAAACCCATAGTAGATATTATCATGTATAATGATTTGAGATTGTCCCACAAAAAAAACAAGTTCAATTGTGATAAAACCAGTTATTTTGGACTAAAAACTCCTAAACCTACTACTACTTTCTATGGGAGATTGTATGGGAAATTTCTATGGGACAAATCAGTAAGCAAATCGTTTCAAATAAAAAAGAATTTTTCAAATCGGTTTAAACTGAAGGCGCTCCATCTTTTTCAAGTCGGTTGAAAAACGAAACCAAGAAACTTTTGAACACTAGAGAGATACATAATAATTTATTACTCGTGTTCCTTTGGGAAAGTTCATCGATTTATTATAATTTAAATCTATACTAATATTAGAAGAAAGAAAAGTTTGATTGTTTGTTTGTAGATGCCAAACTCAAAAACTACAACACCGATTTTAAAAATTTTTTTACTTATAAAAAAAATACATTATCAGTGAGTAAGCATAAATAATATATAGCTTATATGTTATTTTCGAAAATTCTATCTATTCGTGAGAAGCTGAACCGGATCGTTAGATTTATTTATGACCACTCAAACAAATCGATTTTATTGCGTTTTTTACTGAATAGGCTAGAAAATAATTCTAATAATAAAAATCATTTTTATTTATATTATATTTAAAATTATAGTTAAAGGTTAAAAAATAGTGATTCATCCTTGAACTGATCTTTATCGGTCATTATTTTTAACCGACTTCAAAAAGAAGAGACTTTTTATTATATCACCATGCATTTGTATATTATATGATACCTTCGCCAATTGTAGACTAATTTATTTGATAATTCCTTTGAGCCATTTTCGAATACATTTAGTAACTAACAGTAATAATTTTTTATTTATATTTAGGTATATATTAGGAGAAAAATTTCGTGAATCTGGGGTTCTTCAAAAGGGGGGTAAAGAGGTTTCATCAGGGTCGCCAACGCACGCGTAATACCTCTGGTATTGCAGGTGTTCATAGGCTACGGTAACCACTTACCATCAGGTGGGCCATATGCTTGTTTGCCACCTCGTGGTATAAAAAAAAAATGAATCGGAAATTTAGAAAAAAATTAAAGTTAACAAGTGAACGCGTCGTTAGTAGTTAGTATGGAATGCTCAACATGTCATTTTACGGCACATATTTTTAGGGGGAAAGGGATTATTAGTAATGGGGTCTAATTGACTCATTGCAAGCAATACACCCTATCAGGTCGACTTCCACATGGATCCCCCTGGAAATCATCGTAGTTAATTGTAGTGAAATTCTTTACAAAGAGCCTGACCTACTTTCATCGTCACCTATCATCTCTCACTGGTGCCCCGCCAGCGTATACCGATAGCCCAGGCGGAGTTACCATTCCATTATCACCTACTAAAAAAAGAACCATATTTTTATGGTGAAAATATTCAGTTTTGCTGCTCACACCCCCTTCAATGGATGCTAACAATGCTGGTTTTACTGAGTGTAAATTTAAATTTAAATACTTATATAAGGACGAAGGATGGGCAGCAGCCTCCCTCTTAAAACATCACCAAAGCCTAACTGTGGTTGCCATTTAGGCTGCTAAACGTAGCAACTACTAGCAAAACACCCCAATAGAGGAAGGCATTTAGCAGTGTACTTGTTAACGGCTGATGATGATGAATATGATATATATATATATATATATATATATATATATATATATCATATATATATCAGATAGGATATATTGATTAAAACAAATTCACCTAAATCCTTGTTGGTCTGTGACTCAGGCATATCAAGTACCAACTTGATACGGTACGATTGTCCAGACATGAGCATTTGACTGCGCCGCGTCAGCTGGACGTGAGCTGATGGAAAGGAACACACGCCCATGACCTCGTCGCATGATCTGTGCAAGTTAAAACATTCTTACTGATTTTATTAATGTCATTTTATTGACGGATTGACCGAGATTCCGGTAATAATGGTTAACCTCCCAGAGGGCAATATTTCTCACGTTTTTGTAAAAATTAAATACATCTGTCGCTTACTCGTTGCTACTCACGAAAAAAATAGAGCGAATATATGCTGGGTTGACTTCTTTACGAAATCAAAAGACAGAAATCCCTGTCCTAAATTGAATAAAATGGTCACATTTGTTCTTTCCATTTCTGTATCTAATGCTTCATGCGAGTATATATTCAACATGATGGAGCGAGATGGAGCCTGTATGGATCAAGGACAGTAATCAAATGAGTATTTCTTTAGTAAAAGCAGAGTTATAAGTACTAACAAACTTCAATTTTTCATGTAAATTTTTTTATGATTTTCTGGCGAAAAACTGACAAATATTAGTTAGATGCTGTTTGAAAACAAAATAAATTTAAAAATTAATCAATGATTTTTTTTAATAACCCATCCCCCTACCCTCCCTCGATAAAATTTTTAAATATAAAATTCTCCCAGGTTGGTCCTTCCAAGAGATGGCAACCCTGGCCAAACTTATCTCTGAATTGTGTGGGGCCCAGATCAGAATAAGGAACAGAACAAAGACAGATCGGAGAGCATTTGCACCTTTTTAAGGGGTTAATAACAAGAAATAATCTTATAATAATAATTAATAAATAATGATTAATATAGTAAATAATTCCCCCTCCTAGAAAACAATCTTAATATGTTAATTTAATATTATAATAAAATAATATATATTAAATAGTTGTTTGATGATAATGAAGTTATTATAGAGTGCTCATGTCTATAGGCAACGGTTACCGTTTTCCTTCAGGTGGGCCGTTAGCTTGCTTGCCACTCTAAGTTACTTAAAAAAGAAATACTTTATCTCACTGCAGGAAAATGTCTCATTCAGAAAACATAATAATACAAAAACGCTCAATTAATTAACACACATTACTCTAATATTGTTTGAAAATTTACAAAGATATTTGTATCTTTGAATATTTGTTACTCCATCATAGTTTAAACAGCTGAAGGGATGCAATTTTATAATGCAATTTGCAAGATCCTTTATATTCCAACATAAGAGGACAAAGCCGTGGAAATGAGCTAGTAATACAAAAAAGAAGCATTTATATATTATAGTAATAGAAATAAATATTTATGAATAAAAAAGTTTTATAAGTTCAAGAATAATTATCAATAAGTACTTACTTAAATTGTAAATGAACAGGTCTCACGTGCGTAACATTAGGCATGTATGTGTAATAAAAAACAACATACATGAATATAGAAAGCCATACTATAGCAGCAAAAAATACTGCAATTACACCAGCTCTAAATAGAAGTTCCTTAACACTGCTTAAACCTTCCTCAGTTTTTTTCTTATAACCTGTATATTGTCTAGAAATAAAAACCTCCACAGGCAAACTCACATACTGCTGAAAAATTCTGAATGGGTTCATATAATTTATAAGTGAGCCGAGTGACATGTTTCGCGGTCGCAGTTAGATCTTTGACTAGGTAATATTTTTTTAAACGTTATCTACACCAATGGACAGTCAAGAAGCCGGATCTAAATTATTCGGAGGTAGATAACACATATTAATAAAGATAATATCTATTATTGATAATAACTGTGAACTTGCGAAGGCTTCCACTAAATTTCAATTAATTGACACAATTAATATACAAGCAGAATAAAGTTTAATGAAATAAACGTGTACTTAAGAAGATGAGAAATGGAAGGAAGAAAAGATAAAGATATTAATTATACGATAATTAAATACGATAATTTATCTGAAATAAAAATGTAAACATTTATCGTCAAGGTCAATGACTGGTAAATGACATAATTGACATAAATGGATGTCATTTAAATGTCAAAGCAAGATTACGATTCATTCCTTCAGTTAAATATATTTTTTCTTACTTAAAAACTTTATTTATCTCTATGCGTAATTATACCAATAATTATAAATGCTTATGTCTTTCAAATGTAATACAAACAAACATTGCTTTGTAACTCGTAATCGTTTATTGAAACGAGTTTGATAGAACGTTGGCTGTATGATTTAGCTACATTTGCCACTCTGGATCTCTAAAGCAGATAAATTAAAAACATAACCAGTACACCTAAATTAAAAAAGTAAATAACATCAGACTTTCACAATACTTTATATTTCAATTTAAATATTTTTCGTCTAATTAATATATCAAAAATGTTATCTGTTTATCGAAATTATGTAGTGTCCCACCGCAACGTAAATTGGCGGTTTATTTGTGGTAGTACAAGTATAGTGTTAAAAGAAAACTTACCGGCGACAGCTTACAAACCAGAACTTGTAGAAAGAAATAAATATAAGAAATGGGAAGAGAGCGATTTATTTACACCTGAAAACAGTAGTAGAAAACCAATTTTCAGTATGGTTCTACCACCACCAAATGTTACTGGAAAATTACACTTAGGTTAGTACCTGTATTCTCTGAACAGTAGATATTAATTAAATGTGAAACTCCAAAGAATAAAATGTGCATAACGATGATTTTCATCATATAGAAAAATACCTTCAATCCTTTATATATGGTATAAAATATTTGTATGGAATTTATTAAATTATGTATTTTTATTATATTTTCCTTTTCTTTTAAATTTTAAATCTAACTTAGAATGGCTACCCTGCCTGCATTATCGGTATACGCTGGCGAGGATTCAGTGAGAGATAATGAGGATGAAAGCAGGTCAGTTACCACATCGTGACAATTTCAACAAGAGTTGACTACAATTATTTCCATGGGGAACTTTGTTGAGGTCGACCTGATAGAGTATATTGATAGCAATAGGGCTGTTAGACTCCCTACCTTTCTCCCCCTATATTTCGTTTGATAATTATATAATATAATAGTATATAATTATATTAATAATAAATATTAAACTTTCAGGTCATGCTTTAGCTTGTACGGTACAAGATGTTATTGTAAGGAGACAGAGGTCCTTAGGCCATAATGTTCTCTGGCTACCAGGTACAGATCATGCTGGTATTGCTACACAGGTATACCTTTTTATTATGAAACTTTATGAAAGTATTAAAATTTTTAATATGTAATGAAATTTACTCACAAATGCTTTGTTGTCTATGGTTGTTTAGTACAAAGTTCATTATTATTATTGACCAGAAGACTTGGTACAAAAGTATGCTTTTTTATTGCTTGGGTATCTCTGTCTCATATGTGTTTCTGCCATGAAGCATTCTAATTGTAAGTTGCATAAATAAAAAAATTTAATTATAATTTCCAGGGTGTAGTTGAGAAATATTTAAAAAGCACACAAAACATTAACAGACATGAAATTGGCAGAGAGAACTTTGTCAAAGAAGTATGGAAATGGAAAGAAAAATATGGCAACACCATCTATGATCAATTGAGGACTTTGGGTGTATCTTTGGACTGGTCCCGACAGACTTTCACTATGGATACAAAACATACAAATGCTGTAAACACAGCATTCATAAGATTATTCCAGAAAGGTTTAATTTATAGAAAAAAAGCTTTAGTCAATTGGTGTAATGCATTAAAGTCAACAGTGTCAGATATAGAAGTTGATAATATTAGTATAAATGAGCCAAAAGACATAGTGTTGCCAGGCTATGATAAGCCAGTAAAGTTTGGCTTAATTTATAATTTTGCATATAAAATATATGATAGTAATGAAGAAATTGTGGTCTCTACAACTATGCCTGAGACTATGCTAGGTGATACAGCTATTGCTATTCATCCAAGTGATAACAGGTGAGGTACATATGAAAATCTTTATGTAATCTTGCCCTGTTAGAAGTATGAAGCTTTTAATTATTGTTCGTTTTATGATGTGGTGTTTTATTTTATGTCTACTAAGATTTGTGGATATTTCTATAGAAAAGTTTATGCAAGTGAAACTGCAGGAAAGTTTGTCTAGCTAAACTTCAAACAATTCTAAAACAAAATTTTAAGAAAATCAATGTAGCTTTTAACATGTCTAATTAATCACTAATTACATAACTATTTTATAAGGAAAGAGGTAATTTATACAAGTTAGATGCGGTCACTTTTCACAAGCATCTTGCTACCATAGCAAATGGCCACTGATTAGAACAATTAAAAGATAAACTTTATATTTTTATTCCAGGTACAAACATCTTGTGGGTAAAAAGGCAGTCCATCCATTCAGGGAAAATACAATACCAATTATAGCTGATGACTTTGTTGATATGGATTTTGGTACTGGTGCTGTCAAAATAACTCCAGCACACAGCAAAGTAGACTATGATATAGGAAAACATCATCATTTGCCACTGCTGCAGGTAATAGGCGAAGATGGTCGCATTATAAATTCAGGCAAGTTCGATAAACTACATAGATATGAATGTCGACAAGTACTGGTGCAAACATTAGACAACCTGGGACTTTTAAAACAGGTAAACCCACATCAAATGACTTTGCCAACATGCAGCAGAACTGGTGATGTTATTGAATATTTGCCAAAGGAACAATGGTTCTTGTCGTGCAGTCAGTTAAATGAAAAAGCATCTGAATATGTCAAGAATGGAAAATTGAGGATTGAGCCGGAGAAATTTATTAAAACCTGGTTACATTGGACGAGTGACGATAGAGATTGGTGTATATCTAGACAACTATGGTGGGGCCACCAAATACCAGCCTATAAATGTAGCGTCGAAAAAGACGTCATTTGGATAGCAGCTTCTGACGAGGCAGCAGCAAAAATACAAGCATCCAAATATTTGAGAACACTACCAGATTCAATTGTTACTGAAAGAGACACAGATGTTTTAGACACTTGGTTTTCATCAGGCATATACCCTTTTGCATCGTTAGGTTGGCCAGACCATCATGAAAATGAAGATTATAAACGATTCTATCCATTAAGTTTAATGGCAACTGGGCACGATATATTAGGTTTCTGGGTTAACAGAATGGTCATTCTTGGCTTGGAATTAACAGGCAAACTGCCATTTAGCAATGTCCTATTACATGGCATTATTTGTGATACTAAAGGCGCCAAGATGTCTAAAAGTAAAGGCAATGTAATAGACCCTATTGATATTATTAATGGGATATCAATGGAAAAGCTCAAAGAAAAAGCTGAAGATATGCACAAACAAGGAGTATTAACCAAGGATGAAGTTAAAAAAGCTTTAGATTATCACAAAACTAATTTCTCTGGAGCAAAAGGTATCCCTGAATGTGGCGTGGATGCATTAAGATTCACACTGCTTTCACAAGACATAAAATCGCATTTTGTAAGTTTTGATGTTTACCAGTGTCATGCAAACAAACTGTTCTGTAATAAAATCTGGCAGAGCATAAAGTATATGCAGCTATCATACGCAAAATTAAAAGTATACGAGGGTAGTATAACACAAGAAGATTTGACACACTTCGATAAATGGATCCTTAGTAGATTGTCTAATATGGTTGAAATTGTTAACAGATCCATGGATGCATATGATTTCCATTTAGCAACTAAAGCTCTAAGAACATTTATTTATAATGAATTTTGCGATATTTATTTAGAAGCTACGAAACCTGGGTTTGATGATAACGTAAAAATGGGCTACGCTCATGCACACACGTTGTCGGCTGTATTGAATACATCGCTACGGAGTCTCGCTCCATTTATGGTTTACATTACAGACGAATTAATACCAAAGATACCTGCATTCGAAAACAATATTATTTACAATTTCAACGACGCCACATGCAAATATTTGGAATTTCCAAAAACAGAAGACTTTGAAATATGGAAGAATGAAAGTTTAGAGAAACAAACCAATAGATTATTAGGTGCTATTAATCTAGTCAGGGAATTGAAAGGACTGTACAATATTTCTAATAAATCTAAACCCTCTATAAGTGTTAAAACGTTAGACGAATCTCTAGTGAATGATATTGAAAACATAAAACCTGTAGTGTTACATTTAACACGTTGTAGTGACTTGGTATATAAGAAAGATCATAATAAAAATTACGTAAGAGGTATATTAGATAAGGATACAGAATTATTTATTGAAATCGTAGGTGATAACATTGAAAATACAATTTTATCAGCAAGGAATAGACTTGAGAAAAAAATTAAAAAAATAGAGGAAAGTTTATCGAAATTGGAGGAGAAGTGTTCGAGCACTCATTATTTGAACACTGTGCCAGAGTGGACGCAAATTTTAGATAGGGAGAAATTGCTGACGAAAAAACAAGAATTACAGCATTTACAAAGACTGATATAATATTTTTTTATATACTATAAGTATACATTAATTTATATTAAATTGTTATTGTATATAAATTGTTATATTTCGTGTTATTTTAGTTATGTAAAAAATAAAGTAACTCCTTTTAAGTAAATAGGTATTAGTAAAACGATTATTAAAACTGAAATAAAATTAAGTTTATTTTAAAATTAATAAAACTTTTATAATAACAAACAATCAATGTTATTTATAGCTCTATTAATTGACTAATAAACAACAATGGCCCCTAATATAACAAACAATACACTTAGTTAAAGACCAACCTCAATTCTGATGCAATAGTTAATAGGATTGAATGAGTAGTTAAGGCGTTAAGAGGTAACAAACAAACTCACTTTCTCATTTATAATATTGCTAAGAGGGCGGAAAGGGATTGTAAGTAATGGAGACTGAGAATCCAATTGTTATCAATATACCCAACCAGGTCGACCTCCTCGTGGTTCCCCCTGGAAATTATCATGGTTAATTCCTGATGAATTCATCATGATGGGCTAACTGGCCTGTTTTCATTCTCATCTATCACCGTTCACTGGTGCTCCGCCAGCGTATCCCATTAGCGCAGGCGAGGTTACCATACTATAAAAAAAATTGCTAAGAATTTGGCTACATAATTATAGAATAAAATATATATGACAGCTTAGTTGACGTCAGACAGGCAGCCGGTCGTAAAACTATAAGCCAAATCTTTTTGTAATATGGATAAAATCATATTACGCCGACCACAAATAATAATTGGGATAAGGGTAGGAAGGTGTTAATGGGATGAAAATGGAATACATACCCCACCTGTGCTATCGGTATACGCTGGCGGGGCACCAGTGAGGGGTGACAAGTAAGGACGAACAAGACAGTTTGTGATTAATTCACCAGCAATTAATCAGGATAAAATCCAGGAGGGACCGCATGAAGGCCTGATGCTAGTAATGACAATAGGGAACTCCATTATTACCAATCTCTTTCCAGGGGAGTGGGGAAGGCGATCAAATTGTTCGGCTTAGTCCGTAATCTGCTAGCCTCTAAGATGAGATTGGTCTAATAATAACACGATAAAAGGCCGTAAATAAATTTGGACTTAATGTAATTAATTATATCACTATAAAATAAAACAAATTTGCAGATCGTATGCGAATTAAAAATAAGGTACTTCAAAATAAAATCTTGGCACTTTGTACTCTATTAACTTTAGCTTACCGAAGTGTGACAACGTCCCAATTATCTGTCAATGTACAAATACAATTTAAAAAAAAATACAATAGATAGATAACCCCGTCCACGCTAATGGTATGCGCTGGTGGGGCACCTGTGATGGATGATAGGATCCCCCCGGGAGGGGGTTACCATTCCATTATCAACAATTTGAATTTACTGGGTACAGAGGAATAACACCAGAGGAATAACAACTCAGGAATGACAACGCATGGGGGGTATCATGGGCGAAACAGTATACTCTGTTATGTCCATGCTACTGCTTATGTCTATAGGCGACGGTTACCACTTTCCATCAAGTGGGCCGTCAGCTTGTTTGCCATTCTAAGCTGTATAAAAAAATAATAATAACCCCCCCCCCCCCCCTCCTTGTCAAATGCAATTGAATGTTTCTCAATGTTTCCGATTGATTATTTAAAAGATGCCCTGATAGCGAACTAATAAAGTTAATCATAGAATACGTTGCATATAAATCAACCATAAAAAAAAACTTGGCAACTACATCATTTTTTGCTTTTGGAATTTTTCAAATACATTTTCGCAATCAATATACAAATTTTGAATAATAGTTTAATACTTATAATATTGCATTATAAACTTTTAAATTCTCTAGCACAAAACTGTTAAAAAACCAAGCCAAAAACATTGAAAATTATTATGTAAATTGTTTTTTTGAAAATTGCGACGTTGCGACACTTCGGCAAGCTAAAGTTATGAACGCTTTTAAAGTTTACAATTTAGGAAAGTAACAATTTTCGATAAAAAACAGTACTTACATAGTTTTGGTCTTACTAGTTAAAACATTAAGGACTATTCACACTGAACACATTTTGCAAACATTTAAAATAATATATTCTATATGGCAAAAAAAAATATTTTTTACGAGATCTAGAATAAATCAAATTTTGTATGAAAATATAATATAGTTTTTATTTCTACCGAATTACAAAACAATGTAGTGTGTAAAGTTATATTTTGTAGTGTTCCGCGATCCGATCGTCAATTAAATACTGATTTTGGTGATTATTTTTGCAATCAACAGGGTTAAGCCCCGTGTTGGTCCCATACTGATTTCACCACGATTTAAGTAGTTCAATTTTGTTTCTCTTGTAAAATCTTATGTACGATATTTCGCTGCTTGCAAAATATTTTGTGTGGACGTCACTTACAATTAAAATGTCCATACAAAACACACAGACACACACACACACACACACAATAACTTAAATATATTACTCATAAGCTTCTCGCACACCAGGGGGATATGTTACCTGAAAATGTATAAAAAAACATTGATATACCAATAAAAAACCCAAGATCTACAATCACAAACTGCAATAAGAATTGGACGAGTTCAACCATGCACTCATTAAAAATGAGTGCTTGTAGTAAAAAAAAAATATGCTGAAAGATATTTACAAATTTTGAAAATATAATTTTACTAGATATTATTGAGTTTATTTTTAACTGTACGGTTTTTACCCTTGTACATTCTATAGTTTTCTTTCAGCTTCTCAAAGGTTGACTGTAAGAGATCCCTCTATGGGATAAGTCCGCTATTGTATATTAAATCTTTTAATGTGTCCAATATAAATTATGTACAATAAATATTTTACAATACAATACATACATACATATCTGTCACGCCTATCTCCCATACAATACAATACAATCTTAATAATATAATGAAATTGTAGTCAGGCACACCATGTTTGTCCCTAGGAGGCATTTAATAAAAAAAATTATATGAGGGGTCTTATTAGGACCAATAGAAGACAATAATTTTAAATTTGTTTTTTTTTTTATTATTCTGGCGTCGCCCAAAAAGTTCAGCGTCAAATTCCATGCGGTTTTCAGTTAGGTTTCTTAACTTAAAATCTAGTGTATCTTTTATCTCGATTGAAATTGTGAATCTTGGTGTTTTACTAATATATCAATAGTAAATAACATTTTGTGCTAGTCATTGAATAGTTTACCCTAGTGTGCGTTTTTCTATAAAAAAAAAAAAAAACTAAACAGGCGATATTTTACAATTTGCAATAATTCAATATCTCGCTTGTTATTCTCGATGGCAGTTCAATATATACATTTGTTTCTTATGTCTTTAAATAACTGGTATTCTATTATTTTACAAAAGTAATGCATTATGATATAAATCTTAGCGCATTTATGTTTATAAACTTGTCAAGGACATTTGTCCTTGGTACCTTATGCAGGGCCGGATTATTCATTAGACAGTGTTGGCAACCGCCTAGGGTCCCTCCAACGGATAGAGGCCCCATGCCCTGATGAATAATTTTTCGAGTTTCTTTAAATGGCAATTATATTTGAAGGTTTGTATGACACCTTGATCATCATATCAGGCATTAACTGTCCACTGTTAAACGTAGGCTTCCCTCTTGGGAGCTTTTGCCAGTAGTTGCCATGTTTGGCAGACGGGTTGGCAACAAGTTTTTTTTTTATGGGTGATAATGGAATGGTAACCCCACCTGCACTATCGGTATACACCGGCGGGACACCAGTGAAGGATGATAGATGTGGATGAAGCAGATCAGTTAGCCCATCGTGACGAATTCAATAAGAATTGTTCACGATGGTTTGAATGGGGAATCACGTAGAGGTCGACCTAATAGGGCATATTGCTAACAATCTCTTTCCCCCCTAGCAACCATAGTTAGCCTTGGGTGACAATTTAAGGGGGATGATGCTTAATAAACCCTCATTGAAATATTATTTTCTTTTTTTTTCAATAAGTATTGTATACGCATTTTAAGTTAGTATATATAGAACTATTAGACATGTGGTCCCAACACAGAATAGCCCCCCCTCCCTCTTTCCCGTGGGTGTAGTAAAAGGCGATTGAAGGACGAGGAATGAGCAGCAGCGGCCCTCTTTAAACATCTCCAAAGCCTAACTGTAGTTGTCAATCCACCTGCCAAGCGTGGCAACTATTGGCAAAACTCCCCATATGATGATATGATGATGTAAAATTTATTATTACTGCATTATTTATTACTATTATTGCAGCTTTTTGTGAGCGAAAACTGCATTACTTAGGAGGCCCGACATGAGTAATCCGGCCCTGATCTTACGGACTCTGTAAATGATCAAGTGGCTTGAGTCGAGCATAAATCTATTACCGTATGGAAGACAAAGACGGAATGCTTCCATCTTTTTTTTATATTTTTTTTTTAATAGAACATGTGACCACATCGTCCTAAAGCAACGTATAGATAATATTGTCCATGAAAGTGATTTAATTGAAAAGAAAATAATCCACTCTTTTTAATTTATTATTATTATTATTTAAGATTACAAGGGGGGCTCTGGCTCCTTAAAAAATGTGCATGTATACTGTCAGACACGTTTTTGAGGAACAGGCTATCCCTCAATATTATGGTACAATTTACGTAGGTGTTCCTTTCGTAAACTTATTTGTACGCGATCGCGGGTAGTCTACCGTGTATGGGATATCAAGCATATATGTGCTGACGATGCTGGCTCATCTTCATGGAGCACATATATATTTGACTCAAGGTCCAAGCCACTTGAACGTTTATGAGACGCTGTACAAAATAAAAAAGCCTCTTACATGTATCCATTTCTTCCTCATTAGATGTCTTTTTTATGATAAATATTGGAATGGCAACAAACTGACATCCATCCATTTGGAGCTTTATATTTGTCAACATCAATATAATACACTTTAGTTCTTGTTCTTAGACTCGAATAAAATTATTGTTAAGTTAATTGGGTCAATGACCGATTCAGGGCGCGATCCAGTTGTAAGTCACTCCTCTCTTTCCAATCTGCTTTGTTTTTAAACTCTTAAGTCAGGAGACCTCTAAAATTATTATATTATAATAATAAAAGAGAACATTCCATCCTTAACAGTCCTCACTATCTTCAATGACCACAAAACAGTATGCAGAAGTAAAGGATAGGTTATGATCACTGGTTAAATTTGAGAAAAAAAAAAACTACTAATATAGTATTCAATTACAGGTCAATGTCCAATTCATCAACTGTTGCCGCGCTCACTTTTTCATTACATACTTAGAAGTCCATATGAATCTGTCAATTGCATAGATAAAAACTCTGAAAGTGCACCAATTTTAGGGGCATGTGTAATACCACTTTCGTAATATCAGCTCTCCCATTCCATAACAGCGTGAGCTATGATTTATTCTTCTTTGGTATTTTTCTTTTATTCGTTTTTGATATAATTTTCTTTTTAACTGAATGTAAACACACACATTTGTCTTCTTTTGCTTCTGGAAAGAAAATAAATTCCTATATCAAGATCTAATCCAAAATCCAAATGTTAATTAATTATGTTGTATATTAATTTGCACAAGCTATTATCATATATTCTTATTTTTGTAACAAAATAGTTTAGAAAACCTAATCTTATAGTTCAAGTGTTAATTAATTGTATTGTATATTAAATCATAGAAACTATTAACATAGAAATTTATTGTTATTGTAACAAAATATATGTTACAAAACCTATAATCCTATATGTTTCATTAAACACATATCAGGGGGTCGATTTTGAAAGACATTTACTTCCAACTTATCTCTAAAAGTTTAATCGATGTTTTATTATGTTATGAACCACTAAGAATAAAAATAAAAGCAGTTCTAAACCAATTTTATTATTGATTTAATTCCAATTGACCCTTAGAAGAATGAGTTCACTTTAATTTGAAGCTATGATTTAGGTTTCAATAATAGATATAGAATGGCCTATCAGAATCTCTCCATCACCCAGGGTCTGATCTAGCGGGAGGCAGGCCGGTCAAATAGGTAGAACGGCAAATGGATACAAACATTTTTACCGAAAACGGCAAAATTGCTAGATCAGGCAATATTTTTTTAACTCGATCATGCTTAAATAACTAAACAAATTTGAAAATTTGTACAATCAATTGACCATATCCTAGATCACTTTTTATCCCGATTCTCGCGGGCAAAGCCGTGGGATACAGCTAGTCGTCAATGAACTCACTTAATTTTGGTATGCCTGTCCATCTTTCCTTTTTCTGGTCGTCCTCATGCCACCGAACATGTTTCATCAGCTGGGATAGGTACTTAAAACTCTGGGGACACTTGGCACATGCATACATCATATCGCCGCTCTCTGTCGTGTCCGTGTAATTACTGTATACTCTCCTGTCTTCACTGTTGTCTTGCAAAATTGCTAGATCGGGCAATGTTTGTTACTCGATCACATTGAACGGATTATGGAGTTTGGTATACAGGTACGATTGTACGACCCGCGTCAAAAATCGCATTTGGTCACCAGTACAGTTCATCACTAACTAAGATCATCATCAACAATTCGTCACAAATTCTGTTTGTTACTATTTTTCAGCAATATACATTACTACGATCAACATAAAAGTAGTCAACGAAATTTCCGAGTTTCTTGTAGATATTTCTCAAATTAATAAATAATATATGAGTATATAGCAAGGACAATACCCACCCAACAATCCCTTTTCCCACCATATATTAATATGGTGGAGGAAGGAATTGTTAGTAATATTGACTAATAATCTGATTGCTAGCAATATATTGTTATATAGGATATATCCTATAAGTTCGACATACAACATGGTTTCCCCTGGAAATTATCATGGTTAATTATTGTTGAATTCATAACGATAGGCCAACAGATCTGCTTCCATCCTCACCTATCAACCTTCACTGGGAACCTGTCAGTGTATACTGATAATGCCCACAGTACTATCTTACCATTCCATTATCATAAAAAAAGTATATTTAATAACAAAGTGCAATGATGACACACTATGTATGTGACAAACTGCTATTGTGACAAATTGTATAGTTTCTTTATTCTGGCTAATAAACTTACAAATATGTGACCAGAAGTGTGAAACATGGAGCATGTAATTATCCCATAAGGAAACCATATCCTAGATAAATATATAGATTACTTTATATACAGGCAAAGTTGCAGGATAAACTTATCAATTATCATCATGACCATTTCAGCTACTAATTTTCCTCAACTGAATATGGCCCTCCCCCATAAATTGCCATAAGGAACTATCTTGAGCCACCTGCACGTACTAGCTCACCACAATACATTTGAGGCCATCGCCCCATTTAGTTGTCAATAAACTCACTTAATTTTGATATGCCTGTCCCTTTTTGCCTTTTCTGCTGATCTTCATGCCATCGAACATGTTTCACCAGTCGGAACAGGTACTTAAAACTCTGAGGACACTTGGCACATGCATACATCATCTCGCCGCTATCTGCCGAGTCTGTATCATTACTGTATGCTGTGCTATCTTCACTTTTATCAGCATTTTTAATCACACCACCAGGTAATATTTCCAATGTTGGCCAACTGCACGGAGCTGGTTTTGTCTCTGTTTCTGGTTCCACTTTTATTTCCTGTGTAATTTATAAAAGAATAAACGAATGAAGTTTATATACATGTTGTACAGGCACATCACTAGTCAGTCAAGATTGACTTCTAGTAACATCCCTTCTCTAATTTGGTAACCATATTGTATTTCAAGGATAACAAAATTATCTCCGATTATCTAAATTAATATAAAATTCATTAATATATATAATATTCATATAAAATATATATCTCTCAAGCTGGAACATATCGAATAATAGTTGAAGAGCATGTTTTAAATAAGGTATTGTCGAAAAGCACTTCTATGGTTTTGAACTATTAATAAAATATAAATAATCTTTAATTCTGATATTTATTAATGTAATTACAAATTGAAGTGACATGATTATTATTGTTATAAATCTTATTATTATTTTCTTGTAAATTATAAATAAATTATCTATATCTGTATTTGTTTTAAGTATGAATGTAAATAGTTATAAAGGTAGAGAAAAGCCTAAAAAGATATAAATGAACTGTGTGAAAGATGACATTGTCAAAATAGAAGAATATGTGGAAATGACAGTAAATAGAGAAGAATTGAGGAGAAAAATATATTATGCTGACCCAAATAAAAAACTGGAATTATCCAATTCTTTATAGTATTTCTTTCTTTTTTCTATATGTAGGAATATAATAATTAGCCTTCATTGGGTTATATACATTAATACAAATAAAAAATAGTTCCATTGTTTCTGCCTACCCTAATGGGAGACAGGCATGACAGATATATATGTATGTATGTAAAAAAAAAATAGATAAATAAGACAGACTCAACTAAAGTGTGCTACTAATGCAAATAATGGAAAGAAAGGTAGTGTAGTCTATCAAATTAAATTAAACAAATAGAAGTATTTATTTAAATTTATTAAGTATATAACTGTTAAGTTTTTTGTGAGTTCTTTTAAGCAGATAAGAATATTCCTAATCAGATTTAAAAGGATTAATTTAAATAAAGCTATTTAATTGAGGGTACTCATTGACTGAGATTCCATCTAATGTGTTTATGGTAAATTTACAAGACTGGATACTACTCACTATTGGAATTTCATATGTTTCCCTGAAATCGGGTACAATTAACTCTCCACTATTACTATCATTACCCTCGCTAGCCTGTTCAACCTTTATCGACACCATGCTACCTATATTAGAGTCCTCATTGCCCATCACACATTCATTTTCATAATCCACACTGTCAACTATACTAGTCTCCAAAACTTCTTCCTTCCCAATCTCTGGGCTATTCACTTCGTAAGCCCTGTCTCTCGAAGGCTGCACATCCTCCATACGGACCAATGGAACATTTTCGAGATCCTCACTCTCCAAGTTGGAGGTCATTTTTATTAAAAATAATTTTAATAACACATTATACCGTATCAAACTTTAATATTTTTATACAAATATACGAAGAGAAATTCGTAAATATATTTAGGATTTAGTGTATATTTAAATGTATTTTATTTCTTTTTACTGAAAAGAAAAATGACAAGATAAAATTACAACAATAACAAATAAATAGTTATAGACTTCTTGACATCTAGACGATGTCGAATTTGACAATCACAGACAAGCAATTAGTTCAACTCGCAGTTTTGAGAGATTATGGTTAAACAAAAACGTATTCCTAACATAGATTATGGATAGAGCTTAAAGTTGTTATGTAGTATTCGTTATCAAATGTCAAGTCATTTAATACCAATTGACCAAAGTAGTCTAGCCAACATTGACAAACTATATATTTTTTAGAATATTGGGCAAAAATTTATCCGTGTGCAAAATTTTAGGGAAATTAAATTCTTGCAAAATTTTTTAGAGAATAGTGAAATGGATATGGAGAAATTTGGGCATTTTTAGCCTGTTTTAGTATTTATAAACCATACAGCTATATGGTTTAAACATGAATATTTTTAAATAACAAAATTGTCTTAAAAAAAAACAATTTTATAAAAATTGCGTGTGTGTATCGACAACAAAGGTGGGCAATTTGAACAATCACTTAAATATCTGTAGACTGTAAGTACCCACCTATTTGATTGTACTCTTAACAAATCATTGTAAATAGCTGATTAAAACTCTTGAAATACGCTAAAAATATTTTATTTAGTTTTTACATTTCCATGGTATCATCATCATTTTAGTTATTATTCGTCCACTGCTGGACATAAGCCTCCCCCATAGACTGCCATAAAGAACGGTCCTGAGCCACCTGCATCCTCTGACTCCCAGCAATGCATTTTAGGTTGTCACTCAATCCAGTGGGTGGTCGTCCTACACTGCGTCTGCCCGTATGCGCGGTCGCCACTCAAGAATCTTTCTTCTTTATCGCTTGTCGGTTCTTCGAGTTCTTCTTCAATGGTTTAATATTAATAAAATAATTTTAATGATACTAAGCCCACTAAGTAAATATAAATTACATATCAAAAAAGTTAAACTCAAAACAGCGCGATTTTTTATCGTGTAGGCATATTAGACAGGTATATAAGATCAGCATAGTTACCGTACGATATTGCCCTGTTTTCAGACGTAGATTTGTAATAAATTGTTTTGTAGCTCTAAATTTATTGGGCCGTAACTTTTGGAATGAAACAACCTTAATTATATTTTAAAAACAAAATATTTAATTGTATATATTTATTAATGCATCTTTTTAACATGTGCTATTCTTTTTTTATAATAAATTAAAATTTTTGATGTACACAAAAATATAATAAAATATATCAATAAAGGCAGCCAAACAGAGGATAAGAGATAAAGATAGTATGAGAAGTAAAATTGAGAAACATAGAGAAGGTGGTTCTTTTTTTTCGTCGCATTGTGATATACTTATTGCAATATGTACTATAATAGACACAAGTTTGTGATTGAATAAATTGCAAGAAATCCCATCGTTTTGGAAAAAAAAATCAGTTAGGTAAAAATTACAATACATATGGCAAGCCTGTAACTAACTGTTAATATTACATTTTTCTTTCTCCACGTAATTCGCTGTGACTTGTAGTTGGATTTATACGTGAATATTAAAATACAAATCTATCTTTTAATTGAAATGCGTTTTTAATACACTTTAAAAAATATAGCACTGATTGTTTGGTACCGAACAAACCACGTTCGTTCGGGTGTGTATCGAGATATCCTATTTTTTCTTAACTCAATTCTGTTCTACTACCGGTCTTTGTCATTTTGCAAGTGTAAATAATTTATGTTTATCTTAAACTTAGTATCTATTTCAGGATGAAGACCTTGTGGTGTCTTTTGGTTGTCGTGCTAACGTTTAGCGGCAGTTTCGCAGTTGATAGAAATAATTTTAAGACATGTGATCAGGCTGGTTTCTGTAAGCGCTTGAGAAGCTTCAAGCCTGAAAAATCGCAGTACACCTTAGATATAAATAGTATTATCCTAAATGGGAACGTATTACTTGCTGAAGTAACGACCATAGATACCGAGTCAGATAGGAGAACTGTTTTGGTAATTATAAATCTTTATTAGACCTTTTTTATAGCATTATAAATTTTTTATTCTTATTATTAGATATATTTTTTTTTTTATATATTTTATTATTCTTTATCTGTTTTTGAAATTTCGTGATCTTAAAACAAGATCAACAAAGTAAAATGGAGTATATAGTAATCAATACAGATCCCTTCTTCATTTTTTTTTATACAACTTAGACTGGCAAACAACCTGTTGGAAAGTTGTAACCGTCACCTATGATCAGAGTCATGGACATAACAGAGTATACTTTGTAACCTCCCTGTTATTTCATTGCCATATCCCACCTTTTAAAATAAAACAGCCATACAAACACAACTGCTTCATAGTAGAAACATGAATTGGACAGAGGTACCCAAGTTAATAGTTTCTCCCTCTGGTAATTATCATACATTTATCTATACACTTAAATAGTATATTTATTTTATGGCCTGTGTTCATCAGCTTATTTCTAATTTAATCTGAATAACTGCTAATTTTTTTTTTTTTAAGAACTAAAAACAAGATAATCCTGCTTGCAATATTAATAGATATACTTAGTGGGGTACCAGTGAAAAATCATTGCCATTCTAAGTTGTATAAACAAAAAATCTATAGAATCATTCATCCCTAGAATTCAAGTGATTTGGCCCTTTTTGACAAGTTTACCAAAAATTAACCACAATGTTTCCTAGGAAAGACTGTATTGATGTCGACCTGACAGCATCTATTGCTTGCAACGACTCTGATAAATCCCATCACTAACAATATTATATATATGATATAGACAAGTTCATGATATTACATTCGATTATTACAATACTAAAACAAAATATTTTGCAGTGGAACTACATATTAAAACTGTCAGCATTGGAGGACAGCACCTTCAGAGTGGAACTGAATGAGAAGGAGCCACTGTACGCTCGTTATGTGACACAGCTGGCACTGCAGCATGAGCCCAGGCCTGATGGGTAAGTGTTTATAAAAATGATGAGTTATCATAAAAAAAAAAAAAAAACTATTTCAGTCATGATGAAAATAATGTAGAAACTAAATAGAATTAAATTTAAGAACAAAAATAATTATATAAATCAGTTTAAAATTGGCTATAAAACTACATAACATACAAAAAATATGATAAATATTGAGTTGGGAATCTACCTCTTCTCTTTCAATTTGCTTATATAAACAAAACATGTTTAATTCAATAAAAATTTACTTTAAACTGAAATTTTATATGTATAAAAGAAATACATACTAAATAAATATTGTTGTTATTTTTTTATGGAATGGAAAAATGGCAAACAAGCTGACGGTCCACCTGATAGAAAGTGGTAACCATCACCTATAGACATGAGCAGTACTGTAATGTAATGTATGATGCATACATAAGTAGTACCATGGACATAACATTGTTGTTACTTTACATTGGATACATGGAAAAACTTAACATACAATAGTGTAGTTTTTTCTAATGGATGATAATGGAATGGTAAGCCAATGTCATATGCTGGCGGGGTATTAGTGAGGGTTGATTGTTGAGAAAAGGCAGCATAGTTAGCCCTTTATGATGAATATACCTGGCAGGGGGGAAAGGGATTGTTAGCAATGGAATTTGACAGTCCCATTGCTAGCAATATACCTTATTAGGTCGACCTCCACATGGTTCTCCCTGGAAACTATTGTGAACAATTCTTGTTGAATTCGTCACGATGGGCTTACTGACCTGCTTCATTTTTACCTATCATTCTTCACTGCCCCACCAGTGTATAACGTTAGCATGGGTGGGGTTACCATTTCATTATCACCCATTAAAAAAAAATACCTGGTATTCCAGGGAGACCACATGGAGGTTGATCTGACAGGTTATATTGCTAGTAATGAGACTGGTAGTTTCACATTACTAACAATCCCTTCCTCCCCCACAATATTGGACTTATCCCATAGAAGGATCTTTTATAGTCAACCTATAAAATAAATAATTTTGTTACAGAATAAATCTAGTCTCCAAAGATAATGGCAAGGTTGTTGTTACAAATAACCAAGGTCACAAAGTGGTGATCACAGCTGAACCTCTCAAGTTTGAGTTCTACGACAAGAATGGTGAAGTAGCCGTGGTCCTTAATGAGAACTCACAACTCCTTGTGGAGCCGCTGAGGAAGAAGAGGGAGAAGACTGATGATGAAGATGTAAATGTAGTGGAAGTGGTAAGTTGTAATTTAATTATATTGTTCATTAACTTATAAAAAAAGTAAGATACATTCATATTACATTGTTGATGTTTGTTAATAACAAACAAAACAAATAACAAATTGTTATCTCTTAACTTCATCACTTGTAAATTGATTTGGAAAATTCATCTTTTATCTGAAAGGATATACTTACAGATTGGTTCCATAGAAATTTTATATATTTAATATAATTTGGTTTAGTAGTTTAGTTTTTAAATCAAAATAACCGAGTTTGCCACAATTTAAGTCTGCTTTTTTTGTGGAACACATTTTTTCTTGAAAAAAATGATTTATGATTTACAGATAAAGAAAAAAGCTAATGCAAAAACAAAAATAGGAAAGTAATTAGACATTATTTATATTTTAGTAATGGCTTTTCTGCCCCCATCCTTTGTACCCTTAGATAAGTAACATCAATGTAAATTGTCTTTCTGCTAAGGCTTCCACAAAAGCAGAATGCTTATTTGTTACATGGCACACTTAAAATTTGCAATTAGTCACTCACTAATTGCAATTTTAAAAGTGCGCCATTCACTGCACAGTAATTTTGTTTTAAACATTATTTGTATTAGACATTACCCTTAATTATCAATATTATACTTTTATATATTTATAAATTTTGAAAATTCAATATAAAAAATCGATGAATCAGCCAACAAACGATCTTTTGTGACGTTTTTGTCACTTATCTCCGTCTAGATGCATACAGTCTATTGTTATCCTCTATCAGGCTTGTAAAGATGCGGCTCCTTGTTTATTGGAGACTATGATGTCATGTCATTGATCCCAATCCCTCGATATCATACGTGACTGATAAACGCTCTTGTTTACTATTTATCAGATGAAATTATTTTATCAATAATCTCCGTGTGGTAACTTTTTTGAGAATGCAACATGTCAGTCATTTTTAACAGACGAAAATGGTACAGTATAATTGTACAATAGTATAATCCTGGTAGGATAACAGTACAAAGGTGGGGGAGAAGGGGATTATTAGTAATGGGCTCTAACTGACCTATTGCCAGCAATACACCCTATCAAGTCGACTTCCACGCGATTACACCTGGAAACCGTCGTGGCTAATTCTAGTGGAATTCGTCACAATGAGCTAATTGACCTGCTTTCATCGTCACTGATCATCCCTCACTGGTGCACCGCCAGCGTATATCGATAGCGCAGGCGAGGTTACCAGTCCATTATCATCGGGTGGAAAGGGACTGTTAGCAATGAAGTTTGACAGCCCCATTGCTAGTAGGGGGAAATGGATTGTTGGTAATGGAGACTAAAAATACAGTAGGGTAAAATATGGACCCCTTCCTTTCTCGTGGGTTTCGTAAGAGGTGACTAAGGGAATTCAATGATCGAGGATGGATAGTAGCGTTCCTCTTAATACATCACCAAAGCCTAATTGCCAACTCGCTTACCAAGCGTGCCAACTACAGGTAAAACTCTTCTTTTGGGAAGGTCTAGTTTAGCAGTGGGTAGTTAACGCTTAATATAATAATAATATATTAAATCTGCAAAAGGCTTTTTTTTTATACAACTTAGAATGGCAAACAAGCTGACGACCCATCTGATGGAAAGTGGTAACCGTCGCCTACAGACATGAGCAGTACCATGGACATAACAGAGTATACTGTTTAGCCCATGATACCCCCCATGCGTTGCCATTCCTGAGGACTCAGGTGTTATTCCTCTGTACCCTGTAAATTCACGCCATATCCCATCCTTCAAACCGAAACACAGCCATGCAAACACATGCTTTTGCTTGAGCAGTCTCTTAAAAACAACCTGTGTTTAATGGACAACAGATTTATCTAACCTGTTAATTTTTTTTTTTTTTTTTTTTTTTGTAGAAGGTCACGGGCCCAAGTTTAATCTGCCTTTGACCTTATACTTGAAGATGCGTTCATTAGAACACGAATGGTCGTCACGTACCATTTATTTACAAATATTTTAGATACGTTTGTGTTGATAAATATTACGTGAGGTCACACTATCTAATAAATCCGATATCTCGGCACTTGTATGAGTCGTAATTAATACAAGTATTTATATTAATAATGTAATTGTATTACTATGTTATACAGATTTTTATATATAATGTAATGTTTCTTCATCACGATCGACGCCATGAAATTTTCTAAGATCATCGTATGCCTACCCTTGATCAATCTCATTTTCCTATACTTATCTTAATTGTATAAATTATGGTGTTGGCGTAATATGTGTTTATCCATATTTTTTTTAATGGGTGATAATGAATTGGTAACCTCACCTGCCCTATCGGTACATATTGGCGGGGTACCAGTGAGTGATGGTAGATGAGGATGAAAGCAGATCAGTTAGCCCATCGTGATGAATTCTACTAGAATTAACCACGATGGTTTCCAGGGGGAACCGCGTGGAGGTCGACCTGATAGGGTATATTACTAGCAATGGGTTCATTAGACCCCATTATTAACAATCCCTTCCCCCCCCCCCCCCCCTATTTATCCATATGACCCGAGGTTCTGGCTTTTAGTTTTACCAAACCTCAAGAATTATTGGTGGTATCCGATACCTATAGTATATACCTTGGAAAGTATCAAGGAAAAGGTAGGGAGACTTTTGGAGTGAGTAAAGGAAGATGATGCAGTGATTATTGGTCGTTGGTCCCGGAATAGAATAGGCCAGTCTTTCTTCCCTGTGGGTGTCGTAAGAGGCGACTAAGGAAACTTAATTATTAAATGACTAATTGCGATTGCCAAGCCATTTGTCAAGCGTGGCAACTACTGGCAAAACTGCCCTTATGGGGCTTATATTCAGTAGTGGACAGTTAAAGGCTAAAATGATGAAAGAAAGTGTGTAGAAAAGGAAAAAAGAAGATGTACGATATAAATGTAAATTTTAAAAATATTTTAATACTCATTGTTCTTATTGTGGGATCTCCTTTGGTAAAACGTGACGCTAGTATTTGAGCCATTATTGTCTATAATTGGTGTCAGAAGCGATAACAAAGTAATTAAATTGATAATGATTTAATAAAGTATGATGATGAATGATGACGTAGAAATAAAGTTCAGTACTTTACTTACTGCTCGAGTCTCGCATAGGGATTTTTTTAGGAATGATAATGGGATCATGTGGACAAATTGACAGTATATATTGTTGGGGGATTGTTAGTAGTGAGTTCTAACAGTCTGGTTGCTAGCAATGTCAGATCGACACCCATGCGGTTCCTGGAAATCATCGCGGTTAATTATTGTGTGAATTCGTCACGATGGGCTAACTGACCTGCTTTCGTCCTCATTTATCATCTCTCCCTGGTGCCCCGCCAGCGAATACCGATAGCACAGGCGGGGTTACTTTTTTTTTATACAACTTATAATGGCAAACAAGCTGACGGCCCACCTGATGGAAAGTGGTGACCGTCGCCTATAGACATGAGCAATACCATGAACATAACAGAGTATACTGTTTCGCCCATGCGTTGCCATTCCTGAGGGCTCAGGTGTTATTCCTCTGTACCTTGTAAATTCACGCCATAGCCCACCCATCAAACCGACAAAGCCATGCAAACACAACTGCTTCACGGTTGAAACACGAATGGGATAGAGTTACCCAAGCAATCGACTTTTGTACAAAGTCTCCCTCTGGTGAGTTGTGTTTACTGTTCCATTCTCACCCATTAAAAATGACTTTATAATATTGTTAGCAATGTGGTAAAAATTTCCCATTGCTATTCCTTCCCCCTGAATCGGAGGGTTAAGAAGATACATAATTGGCTAATAAATATTTTCTCCCTTATTTATAATATATCCTTACAAGAATTGTAAATTAGCTTTTTGCCTTAAGAAGTAAATTTCTGATAAAATATCATAAATTTCCTTATTATGAAAGCTAATGTAAAATACTAATTTATCTATCTACCCGTGCGAAGCCGGAGAGGACCGCTAGTATTTTATAAATGTTTCTCTGCAGGAAGAGGAGGGCATGTGGGGTGAGAATTTCAAGAGTCACCACGACAGCAAGCCGCGGGGTAACGAAGCTATCTCGCTCGACGTCTCCTTCCCCGACGCTGATCAAGTTTATGGTGAGTCATCTATTCCAGTTATATATGGTATATGTTGAGAAGTCATCAGATTACCACGAAATTATTTTAAAATGAAACCACTAACTGCGTTTAAATTTTAACCACAGTTAAATAATACCACAGTTAAGTGCAAATATAATTTTAAAATAGTGTAATTTATGTAGGCAATGATAACTCATTGCCTCATTGCCTGCCTTTATTTGCATTATACAATATTGGACGTTCTCTTAAACGACGAAAGAATTGCAATAGTAAATGATGTAAAATTTCTAGGGGTACAGATTGACTCAGCATTGAACTGGAAAAGTGAATTGCACTCCATCGGTAATAGTGTTAGTTCATCGTGCTATGCTTTAAGAAGTTTAAGGGACGTGCTAACTACAGATCAACTGAAATCAGTATATTACTCGTTAGTGGAATCAAAATTTAGATATAGTATTCAATTATGGGGAAACAGTTACAATTATAATATAGAAAGAGCTTTTAGACTACAAAAAAAGGCAATAAGAATAATTGCCCGTATTCCGCAGTGGGAGTCTTGCAGGGACTTTTTTAAAAAGTATCGCATACTTACAGTGCCCAGTCTATATGTATTGATTGTTATTGTAAATTTTGTTAAAAATCTACCCAGATGTGAAACGACACAAGAAAGGGAATTGCGTACAAGTTATAGACGTAAAGACATTATGAGTGACATACAACCAAGATTAAACGTAGTTATACATGGAGCGCAATTTCAGGGAAGGAAATTGTATAACAAATTACCAATTGATCTGAAAACTATCCAAAATTGGAGAATATTAAAAATCAAACTCCATGCCTTTCTGTTGGAAAAATGTATTTATAAAATAAATGAATTTTAGGGATATATTAATTGTGAGTTGTTTGTGGTTGCTTGTTTTTTTTTTTTTTTTTTTGACAAACTGTTATTATTATTAATTCGTTGATTGTATCTGACATTGTTTATATGTAAAATTCCTATCATACCTATTCGACACAATGTAATATTGTTATGAATAAATTGAATTGAATTGAAATTGAAATAAGCAAGACAATTTACAAACACAACGATACAATTGTATAAGTACAGTAAGGCGGTCTTATTGCTGAGAGCAATCTTTTCAAGACAACCTTAAGGTAATGGACTAATTGTTGTACAAGTAGGTATGATAGTGCTGTATAATTAAAAAAGCATCTTTTGCAAATTAAAAATATATGAAAATTATATACATATATACACACACACACACACACACACATATATATATATATATATATATATATATATATATATATATATATATATATATATATATATATATATACACACACACACATACACACATATATATACATACCAATCAAACAAAATTATATAATCCCATGCATATATGTTAAATATGTACCTAATACTAGGATATATACGAGGTCTGTCCGGAAAGTTCGTATAAAAGTGTTCTGGAATGCGAGAAAGAGGAGTGGGGAGGCCAGGTAAGCGCAGGACCCCTTCCTTATGTCCCTAACAATGCTTCAGTTCTGGTCTGACCGCCGTGCGGTGCGAACTGGCTTGTCACGCCATCTGTGAAGTTACCTCTTAACGAAACCCCGTCGGCATGGAGCCCGCTTCCGTTGAAGAGCAGCGCGTCGTAATCAAGTTTCTCTCGAAACTCGGCAAGAATGGCCGTGAAAGCAAAGAGTGGAAGACATCCGGGGAACCACGAACAAAAAAATCAAGAAAATCCCGCTCAAATGTCAAGACAATGTTGATTGTTTTTTTCGATGTTCGGGGGATTGTCCATCAAGAATTCGTCCCTCCAGGCCAGACAGTTGATGGAAAATTCTACGTCGATGTGCTCAGACGCCTCAAAGCTCGTGTGGCACGAGTTCGTCCAGAATTGGCGCGAGAGGGGCGTTGGATTCTTCACCACGACAATGCCCCTGCCCACACCTCTCTTGTTGTCCGTGAGTTTTTGAGTAAAAATTCCATTACGGTGACCGAACACCCCCCTATTCGCCGGATTTGGCCCCGTGTGACTTCTTCTTGTTCCCAAAAACCAAATTGGTACTTCGGGGGCGGCATTTGGGGGACATAAATGAGATAAAAAAAGCTACGACGGGGCAGCTGAGAAACCTACAACCAGAGGACTTTCAAGGAGCCTTCTCACAGTGGAAACGGCGTTGGCACAAGTGCATTATGTCACAGGGGGAGTACTTTGAAGGGGATAAAATTGATTTACCTGAATAATTGTAAAATAAAATTTTTAAAAAACTTTTATACGTACTTTCCGGACAAACCTCGTATTAATAATTATAGGCACAAGGAAAACAAACTATCATAAAATAAATAATTATATAAATACATAAATAAAGAATGCCAATTTTTGAAAAGAAGATATTTATTATTTATTATGTTATTGCTAGCAATGGGATTTTTAGTCTTCATTACTAACAATCTTCCCCCCCCCCCCCCCCTCCGAACCTATGTTAGCTAATTAACTGTTTTGTCTCTTTCTTTTACATTAAATTTAAGTTCTATAAAAATACCAATTTGAAAAAAGGTAACAAAGCAGTGTAACAGTTCAAATGGATTTGTAGGTTTTTTTTTTTATTAATAAGGGCATTACTGATATGTACAATATATATATACACCCAAATAAAATATTATATTCCATTTTTGGGCGGTGTTTAAAAAAGAAGCAATCGTGTGTGCAGGTATCCCGGAGCACACGGACCGCGTGCACCTGGCCACAACGACATCTGGCGAGCCGTACCGTCTCTACAACTTGGACGTGTTCGAGTACGAGCTGGACAGCCGCATGGCCATATACGGCGCCATACCGGTCATGTACGCGCACGGGTGAGTCGACACTATTGTATCACGCGATAACTGTCCACTGCTAAACATAGGCCTGTCCCATAAGGGGGGGTTTTGCCAGTAGTTGCCACGCTTGGCAGGCGGGTTGGCAACCGCAGTTTGGCTTTTGGTAATGTTTTAAAAGGGGTGCTGCTACCCTCACGCTCCTTTAGTCGCCTCTTATAAGACTCACGGGAAAGGAAGGGGTGGCCTATTCTATGCCGGGAACACACAGCTGGAGTTGACTCTATGATAATTATAATTTTTTTTATACAATCTAGAATGGCAAACAAGCTGACAGCCCACCTGATGGAAAGTGGTAACCGTCGCCTATAGACATGAGCAGTACCATGGACATAACAGTATACTGTTTCGCCCATGATACCCCCATGCGTTGCCATTCCTGAGGGCTCAGGTGTTATTTCTCTGTACCCAGTAAATTCACGCCATATCCCACCCTTCAAACCGAAACACAGCTATGCAAACACAACTGCTTCACTGTTGAAACACGAATGGGACAGAAGTGCCCAAGCAATCGACTTTTGTACAAAATCTCCCTCTGGTGGCAATTTCTTTAATCGAATCAAAAAACAACATTTAAACATTTGTGTTAATAAATAATGATAATTAACAATAACTAGTTAACAATACTACAGATTAATAATACTAGTCAATGGTAATAAATTTTAATGAAAAGGTAATCGATTTTAAATTACCACAGAATCACTCACTAAGTTGAAATTAGTATTTATTTTTTTATTTATTTATTTAACACTTTATTGCACCATAAATAAAAATATACAATGACAAGTGAATATTTCAAGTGAAATACAGTAACATAAATACAGATTGAAATATACACATAAAAGTACAAAAGGCGGCCGTATCGCTAGGGCAATCTCTTACAGACAACCTTTAAAGGAGAACAGATAGAAATGGGCAGGTGGCGCCAAGAGTGAATTAATAATTTTTCGTGCATAAAATACAAAAACATGTAATGCACAAAAATATTAGTTTATTTGTATATAAAGTAACAAAAGTAATTAGTTTATTTGAAATTAGTAACACTTTTGTACTTCATATATATGTAATATATATAGGGTGTAAGGGATAGGTGGGCAAAAAACGGCAACAGTGAATTCAGACCATTATTCTGAACTGAAAACCAGTGGAAATTCTTTCTGGTTAATTTCAATATTGTTCCTTTTGTTTTTTTTTCTTTTTTCATTTAAAATCATGTATTTATTTATTTATTTATTTAAGGAACACCAACAGCATATTGCATTATAACATATATGAACGGTGTGGACTGCCGTTCGGTGAGCGTGGACTGTAGGGGCGTTGGTTCAGGCTGGAGTGAAACACAGCGATTACTATTCTGAAGCCTCCGGTACCGTCTGAAGAGAGTATTTTTTCTTCTTGTCCTATTTCTTCTCGAGTGTAGTGCGTCGCTGCCCGGAAGCGAATGCCGCTCGTAGGTAGGTACGCACGTAGCCGTATAAAGGGGACGTGGGGGGTATAGCAGCCCGGGGCGTTGGCCCCCTTCTGCTGGTGTCTCTCGCCGCACATTACCATGTGCAGGGTAGTTGGGGGTGGTACTTGCCGGTGGTTTTCATAGGAACGCACTAAGGTTCACTTGTAGACTGTTGGCGCCGTCTGGGCCGGTCGGCGCGGTCTTCGCCTGCCAGGTGAGACCCCATGGGGGGAGGCCCGGCAAACTGCCAGCGCAAGAGCGGCCCATGACGACGGCGCCACGCGCTTCTACACTATGGGACCGTGCCTTCTTCATCTGCTTCGCGCGAGCGGGTGAGTTCGCGCGCATATGGCTTCATCTCCGGCGGTCTAGCGTGCAGAGGCGCTATGCCTCTGAGGTGGTCCCATTTTGATGCGTCCGCGCGCTGGAACAGTCTAGTCGCTAGTTCTTTCACGTGTGCGTCCAGTGGCTGGATTTTGAGGTCCCTCTCCAGGGTGGCGTTTCTGACGAACTTATGCGCACCGGTCAGGGTACGCAACGTCAGGTGCTGTTGTGCTTCTAGTGCTCTTCTGTTTGTCTTGCTGACGAATGCGTACCACGCCGGCGCGGCATAAGTTAGACGCGGGCGGATGTACGTTTTATAAATTCCCGTCTTCATCTGGAGAGGGAGGTTTCCGACGAGTACCGGACGCAGCAGGTGCCTGGCTGTTCTAGCCTTCTGGCGAACCTTCTTGACGTGCGTTCCGAAAGTCAACCGGCGGTCGATTTCCACCCCTAAGTAGGTGGCGGTGCGGGACCACTCGATCGGGGAACCGAGCAGGCGTAGCTGTGGTGGCGTCCTTTTCATGTTGGCTGTGATCGCCTGTGTCTTGCGCACGTTCACCGACAGGCGCCATTTTCCTAGCCATTCTGGCAGGGCATCTAATACTGTTTGGATTTTTGACGCCGCGTGCTTATTGTTAAGCGACGTCGCGGCGTAGGCTGCATCGTCGGCGTAGAGCGCCAGTGTAGTCTGCTCCGTGGTTGGGATGTCGTCGGTGTACTGCGCATAAAGCACAGGCGATAAGCAGCTGCCTTGCGGGACGCCCGCTCGGATGGGACGCTCACCCGAACAGGTTTGTTCAACCGCCACCATGAACCGACGATTCCTGAGAAATGAGGCCACCACTTGGATGAGCCTTCTTGGCATTTCTGTCTGGGTGGCCAACTTGTACAGCAGACCGTCGTGCCAGACCCTGTCAAAAGCTTTCTCCATGTCGAGGAATACTGCTACGGTGACTTCCTTCTTGTTGATGGCCGTTGTGAACGTGTGCAGTATCCTGATCAGCTGCAGGGTGGTGGAGTGCTCAGCTCTGAACCCGTATTGCTCTTCTCTGGGCTTGATGTATGTGTTTATGTGTTTGAGAAGTAGTCTCTCAAACACCTTCGATACATGCTGCAACAACGTGATTGGCCGGTACGATTCCGGTTTCAATACGTTCTTACCGGGCTTAGGCAGCGTGATAACTTTGCCTATCTTCCATGTGTTTGGGAAATGCCCTGTGCGCATAATACCATTGTACAGGCGTGTAACTGCCGCTATAGTGCGCGGTGGCAGGTGGTGCAATGCCGTATTCGTGATATTATCGCTGCCGGGGGCCTTCCGAGGCTTCGTTTTTCTTAATTCACGCTGCACTTGTCCCGGCGTAAACACCACCGGGTCTTCGTGTGGCGCTAGTGGCGGAGCCAGGTAGTTTTCAACGTATTTGACTACCATGGCAGCATGTTCGGTATCGGTAACCGGGTTCGGCTGGAACTGGCGTTCTAGGTGTTCGGCTAGGATTTCCGCACGGTCTGCTGCACGGTATCTCGGCGTCCCATCGCTCGCCAGTAGTGGTCGGACCGGGGGCTGGGATTGGGACAGCCGGCGGCATAGGCGGTGGATGCTATTCCAGTCGTCGCCGGCGTCTTCCAGTAATCGATCCCAGCTTTCCTTCCTGTGGGACTCAATGTCTCGCCTGATGTCTTCGGCGAGTTTGTTCAACCTCGTCTTGAGGGTGGGGCAACGTGTCGACTGCCAGTCCCTACGCAATCGGCGCTTCGCTTCTAGTTTCATCCTGGTGGCAGCCGGGATCCACTCGCGGGTCCTTGTTACAGGTCCCGGCTGCGCTGCGATGTCCATGGCGTGCTGTATGGAGACTGACAGGTTAGCAGCGAGTTCTTCGACTTCAGACGAGGTTGAGACTGCCATCATGGGCGTGTTGTGCTCCATCGAGTCCCTGAATTTTACCCAGTCGATCCGACGGCGTGGGAGGCGCGGCGTCAGGAATGTCGGTGTTTGTGGAATAACCATGCACACCGGCAGGTGGTCGGATTGGATGTCCTCGAGGAGGACTTCCTGCGTCGGTTGGCTGTCTAGTCCTTTGTATAAGGCGAAGTCCAATACGTCTGGAGCATGTGCTGAAATGTAGGGATAGTGAGTTGGAACCTCAGGGCCGAGCACGGTGATATCCATTCTCTCAGCTATCCCTAGTAGTGCTTTTCCTTCTGGCGTGTCGTTGTTGGAGTTCCAGGCCGTGTGTTTGCAGTTCCAATCGCCTGCGGCGACAGTGGGCAGCTGCGAATCGAAGATGACGGCGACGTCTGCAGCTGCAATCCTGTTCTGTGGTGGTTTGTATACTGCAAACACACGGATGGGGCTTCTATCTACGCATAGCTCGACACCGAGTGCGTACATGGATGTGAGATTCACCCGGGGGAGCGGTTGATGCACTACGTTCCTTTTCACCAGGACAGCCAACCCGCGATATGCCTTCTGGCCGTCCGTAATCTCGTCCTGTCGGTATGCATGGTATCCTGGAATGCGGAGTGTGTCGAGAGCTCCCAGTAGTGTCTCAGAAATGAGACACACGTCGACACGGTACTCCATAAGCAGCGTCCGGAGCAGGGTTGTCTTCTTGCGGACCCCGTCCGCGTTCCAGTGCAGCAATCTTAGTCCCATTTAGTGTTGGACAGCCTCGCCATTCCTGCGGTGATCGCCGGTACTGGGTCCGATCCGGCTTGCACCGCAAGTAGCACCTCCATCAGGATGGTGAGCATAGTTTTCACCATGTCTGCCGTGCCGCTCGACGGGAGGCGGCCTATCTTTATACCCGCCCGCTCGCACGATAACGTTTCCAACTCGCGTTAGCGAATCTGCGCGAGCGGGACGGGGCGAGAATGAACGAGACGCGTGTCTCTTCAGATCGGTACTCTATAGCGTTTATTTATGTATTGCAATTTACAATTTCTTAATTCTATTTATTGTTACAATTTCTATTTCTATTTGTAGGTAATAATGACAACACACAAAGGAATACTTTATTTAACTTACGCTATAGGTATCTTAAATCTATGTAAATCTATATAAAATAACAGAATACAAAAAACGATTAAACTAGAAACTTAACAACTAACTATAAACATTGCTATAAATATCGCTATAATTACATATATACAAATAATGTCGCGAACATAATCTCCCGCCGCAGCTCTCGTAGCTGGAGTTAAC